AGTTCATTTGATGGCTGAAGTTGGCGCATTTCCTTTTGAAGTTCAAAATTTGAACCAAAAAAAAGAAAACACTTTTGTGCACACCCCACCTTGTCATCACAATGGTCATTGAAATCGAGCAAGATCGATTAGAATTCAATGAATCCTATGAAGAAGCTAAAAAGATCAAAGAAACATATTTTGGCGTCAATATGGACAAATTCATCAAATATTTCGAGTCTGGAAAGTACACCATTCCGACCGAAACTCTTCCATTGCAAATCTCGGAGGTAAAAGCACTCCTCCATCTCTGTAAAAAACACTCTCGAAAACAATTCACTCTCCGTAATGAGGATTTGCACTCAATTTCACAATTGACACAAAAGATTGATCAAATCATGCAACGAATGAAACAAGATCATCAACTCTCCAATGGATTCATTGTGAAATTGACTTCTCGTTCTGCTAAAGATATTACTCCAACGCATGAAAGGACCATGAAACTCTATTCAGAGATGATGATGAATGACACATCTAAACACCAAACATTCAGCGACTACTCATCACAATGTACAGATGATAACGACAAGGAAAATCCACAGAACCATGAGGAGGAAGATCTCCATAATAGTCACCATCAACACCACCACGAATTCAAAATGAATGAACATTTGTGTGCCTTATATTTTGCATCTTTACAATGCATGAGAGTTTTTGATGCAAATGAAGCTCTTCAATTATTGACTCAGAGTTCAATAATTGAATATGATCTCGCACTTGATTTAACCTTTGAATAAGATTTTTCATTGGGGATCATTGTTCGTCCGTGGGATGTCGATATGCGTCTATCTTCAGAATTTCGAGGAATTGTTTTTCATAATGAATTGAAAGCACTTTCTCAATATTTCACACAATGTTATTTGGAACCAGTGGTGAAGGGAAAATCGAGAATTGAAGAGGCATGTCGAAATTTTTTTGAACATGTTGCAAAACCCATCTTGTCTAAAGAATTACCAGAAATGGAAAATTATATCATGGACTTTTCTGTTTCCCAAGATGGAAAGAGTGTGAAAATACTTGAAATTAATCCCTATCTCACTACCACTGGCGTTGGATTGTTTGATTGGGAATCTGACAGAGAAACGATCTTTGAGAATCCAAATCCCACAAGTTTTGAATTTCGTGTATTGAAAGAACCCATTATTTCAAGTCAATTATTGAATAAGGGCAAATTGGTGAAAGAATGGGAAGAAATTTTAAAGTCTGTATAAATATCAAACTAAGGATGATAACACACGAACTGAATCACAGTTAACAATTATTTTTTATATATTATTCAAAAGGTAGGCTCCTCCCCTTGAATGTTTGTACTATTTATTCCAATACAATCACGTCATGTGGCTTTGCCTTAATGATGTTCAACAGCATTTCCCAAATAAACATCATGATAACAATAGTGCATTCTTGCTTGATATAATTCATCACTGTACTCAAAGACATATCCATTGCATTTGAGAGCTTCCATCACAAGTTCTCGATCTTTCTGCAATTCTTTGCTTGCGTAATATAAGGCAAACCCATTGTTCTTCACTGCTTCTAACATGAGTTTGATTACTTGTAATAAAAATTCTTTGTCATTTGAAATTTCTTCTGGCAAATGATTAAGATTGACATCATATTCAACAACTTGCAATAAGAATTGTTTGTCATGTAATAGATCCCTAGAAGCATATTTCAAATGGCCGCCATGTTTGATCGCTTCCAATACAACTTCTTGGTCGCCTTTCATCATGTCACCTGCATACTGGAGAGCATGACCGTCTTGTCTGACAGCTTCCAATACCACTTCTCTATCGTTTCTCAATTCATTAGACGAATATCGAAGAGCATTACCAACTTTTCGTACCGCTGTCAAAACCACCTCTTTATCATTCTTCAACTCTTCTGATGCAGAATCAAGAGCTCCACCATCTTGTCTTACTGCTGTTAATACCACATCTTCGTCATTCTTCAATTCATCGGATGCAAATTGAAGAACATAACCATATTGTCTGACAGCATTTAACACAATTTCTTTCTCTCTCTTCATTTCATCGATTCCGATGCAATGATAAACCATTATGTTGAACGGCCGTCAATGCAAATTCTTTGTCGTTCTTCAAATTATCAGAAGCAAAAAGAAATGAGTAAGCATTTTGTTTGGCTGCTTTTAAAACAACATCTCTGTCATTCTTGAGTTCATCGCTTGCAAATTCAAATATCTTGCTAATTTCTTGAACAAGTTTCATCATGATGTCTTTTTGTGAATAATCAAAATAGTCTTGAAGAGAAAATTCTGGAAATATTACTTTGACAATTGTTAACATGAATTCACAATCTAACAATAATTTTCTTGGTATGAATTCAAGTGCTTTCCTATTTTGTTTGATTGCTTCCAATACAATTTCTTTGTCTGAATTCAAATCATCTCCAACATACTCAAGTGCTTCTCCATTTATTAGCTTCAACCAAATCCGGGTCCTACATTCAAGGATTGAACTTTATCATCGCCTTTTTTATTGATTCAAAGAAAAAGTCTTTCATTTTAGTGGAGACTAAAAAAATTAGTCAGAAAATTGTTCCAATCCTCAACGACGAACAATACCATTAACACCACATTCAACAACAACAATACATTCTCACTACTACCACTTTGGAGTTTGCTCTCATTCCGAATAAGACTAATTCTTCTTTGATTAACGTTTTATTTTTCTCTATTATTAATACCAAAGATAACTCTTGGCGAGAACTATCATCATCATCATTATTGAATACATATTTAAACACAAGAGATATACATTAAATTAAATACAATGCCGAAAAAGACAAGAAAAGAACTCAAAGATGAACGATTAAAATCCAACTTGGATGGTTCTTCTTCCGATGATGATGGAGTTAGTGATGTGAGTACAACCTCCGACTCGACTCGATTAGCTTCCATGGAAGAATTATCCAGCAAATTCTCAGATGCAATTGAATGGCTTACCGAGAAGGCAAGTGCACGCCGATTGGAAGGCTTGAATACGATGATCAAAATTATGAAGATGCGCTACGTGGCAGATTTATTGGGTGGAAAATTAGAATCGGCTGTGAATGGTGCCATTCAATGCTGTGCAAAGGGATCGTCAGAAGAGTGTGTGGCTGCTTTTAAGGTATTTGCGTTGATTTCTGTCACAGTTGGAGGATGTGTGAATGAGAACGATCGTAGACATTTATTCTCTTCAAAATCATTGAATGATGCCATGTTTGGACAACAAGCCATGCTCTCTGAAGAAAATTCACAAAGAATGAAAGAGATGTTAATAAGAAATGCTGATGCAGCTTCAAAAAAGAGCCAAGAGGTTAGAAGTGAAGCATTGTTTTCACTCGGTATTTTGGAATTCATGGACTCGTCACCAGAAGATCTGATTTTAGAAAAGGAGAATAACAGGTTGCAATATTTCAAGCAATTTTGGAATGATAAGGATGATTCGGTGGTATCCGCTGCCATTGAATCATGGGCTTTCCTTGCCACCTTGGTTCCAAACAAGTACAAGGTGAGCATGTTGGTTCCAGACTCTTTGAAAAGTCTTCAAAAGATTATTGTCTCTGACTCGACCTCACCATCACTTAAAATTTCAGCTGGTCAAGCCGTTGCACTATTATTTGGTGCCATCAATACCAACGAAGACTATGATAGTTCCATCTCTAAAAGCGATTATGAATCTCTGGTGGAAGCAATGAATAAGGCAGCATCCCTCTCTGGTAAGGCAGTCTCCAAGAAAGAAAAGGCCATGCAACGAATGAATTTTAGAAGTTTTGTGACAACTGTAGAAGATGGCGAGATTCCATCCGATAAGCTGAATGTTTCAGGAAATACTCTCGTTTTTGAGAGTTGGGATAAGCTGATTGAATTGGCAAATTTCAAGAAACTGCTCGAAGGAGGTCTTTTGGAACATTTCAAGTACAACACTAATCTACAACACATCTTTGATGTGGATCATTTAAATCTAGGAGTGGAACAACCATCCACCAAATTAAGTTCACTAGAAAAGAAGTACTATCTCTCAAAGAATTCCGACTTTAATAAGAGTGACACGTTGGAAAAGAATAAGATGACCAGAACTTTTGCAAATTATGTTCATGCTACAGGTTATGATGAAGAATAACTCTTGTGAAGTTCTATGAGAGTGACATCACTTTCATTATTGTCACTTCGTAGCCTAGCAATGAAAAGGTCATCAAAAAGTTCTTGCATTTCACGCAATCCAACACAAATTACCCAACCTATTCGAATAAAGATCTATATCGTAGATACAATACAAATATAGAGTCAACTTTCAATCAGAATCATTGACCAATTTGTAACCATGTTCAGTCTAGTTTCCCAAATAAGCATCATGATAACAATTGTACATTCTTGCTTGATATAATTCATCACTGTACTCCAATACGTATCCATTGCATTTAAGAGCTTCCATCACAATTTCCGGATCTTTCAGCAATTCTTTACGTGCTTTCCTCAATGCGAGTCCATTATTCTTCACCGCTTCCAACATCATTTCCTTGTCAGACATAATATGATTATCTAGAAGTGATACAATGGTAAGACTATTGACTTTGATTGCCTTCAAAAGAAATTCCTTGTCGTGAACAATTTCTTTTGGCACAAGTTCCATAAAATAATTACAATCTCCACATTTAAGAGCTTCTATAAAGAATTGTTTGTCATTTAAAAGATCTTGAGATGCATAGTCAAATGCCTCAGGTGTTTGTTTGATAGCCTCTAAAATAATTTCTTGGTCGTGCTTCATCATTTCACTTGCATAATCGAGAGCAAAGCCATTCTGTCTGACAGCTGTCAATACAACATCTCTGTCGCTTGTCATTCCATCCGATGCAAATCGAAGTGCATCACCATTTTGTCTGACTGCAGTTAATACCACCTCTTTGTCATTCTTCAATTCATCAGATGCATATTGAAGACAAAATCCATGTTGATTGACAGCATTTAACACAAGTTCTTTGTCTCTCTTCAATTCATCAGAAACATATGCCAATGCATGTCCATTCTGTTGAACAGCCATCAATGCAATTTCTCGATCATTCCTCAAATTATCAGATGCAAAGCCAAGCGAGAAACCATCATTCCTAACGGCATTCAAAACAATTTCTCGATCATTCCCGAGTTTATCACTTGCCAATGAAAGAAAACGTCCATCTACTTGTACAAGTTTCATCATGACTTCTTTTTGTGAATAATCAAATGATTCTAAATGAGAAAATTCTGGAAAAATTGTTTTGAGAACTGTCAACATGAATTCCATATCTAACAGTAAATCTTTTGGAATGAATTTAAATGAGTTCCTATTTTGTTTGATTGCTTCCAACACAATTGTCTTGTCCATAGTCAAATCATAGTGAACGTGATTCAGCGCTTCACCATTTTGCTTGACAGCAGTTAAAACAAATTCTCTGTCACTTTTAAGATGATTCGGTAGGAATAACAAAACCGATCCATTCTGTTGGAGCATTTCCAGAGTAAACTGTTTGTCCTCTCGAAGTGTTCCTGGAAAACTTGGAATTTTTCTCCATGCATCTGGAAATTGTTTTACAGCTACCAATATCACTTCTTTATCATTTCGTAGACTATAACTTGCAAATTGAAATTCACTTCCTCTTTGTTGAACCACTTTTAACACAAACTCTCGATCTTGTTTTAATTGTGTGGATGCAAATTGCAATCCATAATCGTACTTTTTGATGTGATTCAAAATAAATTCCTTGTCATTCATAAACTCCACAGGAAAGAATTTTACATATTTCAATTCACGATTCAAGAGCCATTTCTTTTTTCCTTCTTGTTGCAATGAGAATTTCTTTTTCAATGATGATTCTAATCTCCGAAGATCATTGAGTTCATAATTTCCATCAAAAGAATAAAAAGAATTTGAAAAATCAAGAAGGATCAATTTTACATGATCCTTTCTGTTTTGTGATGGAATTAATTTTTGTTTCTTGTTTTTATCATCATCGACGTCTACTTGATTGAATGAATGATCCAACAACTTGGTTTCTGTGTTACAATGATGGAAGAGTGTTGTTGTATCAACGTGACTATGATCTCGTTTGGACATTTTTTTTTGCATCTCGATGTTGTTTTGTGTGTGAGAATCTTGAATTCCATGTGAAAATTGAAACAGAACTGTTTTGAAGTTCTTTGAGAGTACTTCCTGAAGTCGTTTGTCAGGCAGTGCTTATTCAAAACTTGTTCTTTTTCGAAACATGTCAAATAAAAGCCCGCCAATTCCCTTACTATCAAATGTCACACATCAAAAAAAATTTGACTCACCTTTTCGTCATTGACGTGATTGCAACCACTATCTTTCATATCTTCTCTCTTAACACAACATAGAAATCACTATGGATGATTTACTCATCAACAGTGAACATGTAAAATTGATCCTTCTTGATTTTTCAAATTCTTTTTATTCTTTTGATGGAAATTATGAACTCAATGATCTTCGGAGATTAGAATCATCATTGAAAAAGAAATTCTCATTGCAACAAGAAGGAAAAAAGAAATGGCTCTTGAATCGTGAATTGAAATATTCGGATTTCTTTCCTGTGGAGTTTATGAATGACAAGGAATTTATTTTGAATCACATCAAAAAGTACGATTATGGATTGCAATTTGCATCCACACAATTAAAACAAGATCGAGAGTTTGTGTTAAAAGTGGTTCAACATAAGGGAGAGGAACTTCAATTCGCAAGTTACGACCTTCTACAGGATAAAGAATTTCAATTGATAGCTGTGAAACAAAGTCCAAGCTTTTTCAGAATTTCATCTTCATATGCTCGAGACAAAAAGGAGTTCTTGTCTTTGGAAATGGTCCAACAAAATGGATTGAATTTGATACATGTTCCTTGTAATTTCAGTCAAGATAGAGACATTGTTTTAACTGCTGTCAAGCAAAATAGAGAAGCTCTTCAATATATTGGAGATAGTTTCATGATATCAAACAAGGAAATTATATTGGAAGCAATCAAAAAAGATAAGAAGGCACTTGAGTTCGTTCCAAAAGTAATACTCTTGGATTGTGAATTCATGTTGAGAATGATCAAAGAAATATTTCCAGAATTTTCTCATTTAAATTCTTTTGATTACTCACAAAAAGAAGTCATGATGAAACTTGTTCAAGAAAATGGCAAGTTACTTGAATTTGCAAGTTCTGAACTCAAGAATGATCGAGACATTGTTTCAAATGCAGTTACCAAATGGTTCCTTCGATTTGCATCTGTTAGTTTGTAAAATGATCGAGAAATTGCGTAATTGGCTATTCAACAGAATGTCCGTGATACTTTGGAACATGTGTCTGCTGAATTAAGGAACGACAAAGAACTTGTATTACATACTGTCAGACATACTGTCATACAAGAAGGATTTTGTCTAAACTATGCATCTGATCAGTTGAAGAGTGACAAAGAGGTGGTATTAACAGCTGTTAGAAAAAATGGTTATGGTCTTTGTTTAGCATCAAAAGGGTTGAAGAATGACAAAGAGGTAGTATTAACAGCTGTTAGCAAATATGGTTGTGGTCTTAAATATGCATCTGAGGAATTGAGAAACGACAGAGAAGTGGTATTGGAAGCTGTCAGACAAAATGGTTCTGCTCTCGGGTATGCAGGTGAAATGATGAAAGGTGACAAAGAAATTGTATTGGAAGCCATCAAACATGGTGGTTCTCTGAAATATGTTTCTCGAGAACTTTTGAGTGACAAACAATTCTTATTACGAGTCGCAAAGTGTGGATATAAGAACACTATGATGTATCAGAAGAAATGACAAATGACAAAGAATTTGTGTTGCAAGTAATCAAACTCAACAAACTTTCATATGTCCCTCGTATTATATCGGACAAGGAGGAACTCATGTTAGAAGCAGTGAAGATCAATGGATTTGCATTACATTACGTAAGCAAAGAGTTACAAAAAATCCAGAATTTGTGATGGAAGCTCTCAACTGCAATGGTTTTGTTTTGGAGTACAGTGATGAGTTATATCAAGCAAGAATACACTGTTGTTATCATGATGTTTATTTGGACATGGCAACAATGACTCGTCGTCATTGAAGAAATTCACAAGATGCGATTATATTTGTATGGATCTCAACGTTTCAGAAAATTGTTTTGGAATTCAACTGGGACCGATGTTCCATAAAAGTATTTTTATTTGTGACAACGTGACAACCATGTTGTGAAAATGAGATAAAATTGTTTGTTTCCTCGATCATTATTATTACTTTTTGAAGAATCGTCTTTTAACTCGTCGATGTGGCTGTAAAGTTTCGTCCTCCTCGCGAACTAAACTCGTTTCATGAATATTGCTAAACGAAACGGAACCTTGTCTTGACTCTTCACAAGTATTCTGTTCTGTTCCTACTACTTGTTGATTCGCTGTTTCTTCTTCTTGGTTCACTAACTTTTCCATGAGTGACACCAATACACTGAATGAATTTTCTTTCGATTCATCCATCAATGTTTTTGAAAACGAAGATTCAAATGTTGTTGAAGAGGTGGACCGATGAATTGGTGAATATGAAATTGGTTGTTTTGTTTGTTGAAAATGATTCCTTGCATGTGCTTGAACAATTTCGTTTTGAGATTCTTGTTGAGAATTATTCCAATCCAAACTTTCATCATATTCCAAGAAATCCAAATACATTCGATCTTGTTGTGACATTTCCGATTCTTGTTTCAAATTATCTGAAGAATGATTACTACTACTCGATGAATCATCTGCAGTAGAACCACCACTTAACATGTTCGAGAGTGAATGAGAATTTCCATTCTTGTTGTTGTCATTGTTTCTATTCACAGAAGAAGAACCCGAAGATTCCGTCACCACCACAATGGAAAATGCATCTTCATGAAGAGGTATTTCTCTTCGTTGTAAGACAACACTGGTGCCAGTAGTAGTAGAAGTGCCATTTCTTCGTCGACGAATAAATCTTCGAGGAGGTCTTGGAGATGTTGTAATGCTACTTTCTGTTGTGACGTTTTTGTCGCCTGTGGTGTTTGTGGTGGTGTTTGTGGTGATGGTTGTTGTTGTAGGAGTGTTGTTCATTAAGGGTTTGAGAGTGAAAGTGTTTTCATCATCAGTTTTTTCATCCTCATTGACCTTCATGAAACCTAATGTTGATTCATCATCTTCGTCGTCATTGTCGTGGTGACATTTTTCTTCCTCAATGAGTCGCTTGTAATTACACAATAATTCTTGTTTTTGTTGTCTTCGTGTGGAAATTCTTTTTGGGCTGTCCAACAAGTGTTGTTGCTGAGATTTGGTTCTTTCTCGAATTTTCTTTGGAGTTGAATTTGAAAGGTTTCCATTTTCTTCGAGATGAAAATCTTCAAAAGAGGAAGAATGAGCATCTTCTGAAGATTCTTCATCCAATGATAAAGTTGAGGTTTGAGAGGAAGAATTTTTCTTCTTCATGCATGACCTTGGTTGAGAATTGTTCTTGAGAGGGGTTTGAGAGTTTTCGCATTTTGGCCGATGTTGTAGAGACAGCTCGAAAATGTTCCCTCTTTTTCAACAATGCGACCCTGTCACCAGAGCTCGTCGTCGAAGGAATCATTGTGACAAGTGACGGCATGGTCGAAACTGAATTCTTGTTCAATTCATGGGAATCAGAGAGTCCACAACAAATTTGTGACACGTGACGATCACACATTCTTCCTCCCAACAGATTTGAAAACTGTTCTCCATACATTTCAACAATTTTCTTCAATACTCGTTCTGTAATCACACCCTTCTCGGAATGACCTTTTTTTCTCTTCAAAAGTTGTGAAAAATCTTGTGGTGGAGAAAACATGATCTTTTTTGCTAACATGCTACAAATGACACAACAATAGCCACCATTGGATCCTTTCCAAGGTAATGGATGAGATAATTGAAAGGTAGGACAAGTGATGGATTGGTCTGAGTTCAAATTGGAACTCTTCTTCACATGATGGAAAGGACGAGGAAGAAGGAATGATGGACTTGAAACAAAAGATGTCAAAGATTGAATCAACGATGCACTGAGAGTCACTGGAGTGGGATTTGGAACGTGTTGGAATGCATTTTGTAAGGTTGAGATTTTTGGATTGAGAATGGGAAAGGCACGATTCAAACGTTGTGGAGATGCATCAACCATTTTGTTCAAGTGTTGGTTGTTGTTGACAGGAATGCGAATGGGAATCTTTTGTGGAGGAGGAGTTGTTGACGAATGGAATTGTTTGTTGGTAATGGTCGATGAAAGATGGTCTTCATTTTCTTGGGCTGTGGTTTCAGAAGAATTTCTTTGATCTGAAATTTTCAAATAAATCGTTGAAGGTTGCCATTCATGATTCTTGGTTGTTGTTGTTGTTGATGATGAAAGATTCTCGGTAGACAAACATGATATTCCACGAGTTGGAAGAGTGGAAAAGAGTTGACAAAAGTAGAAGGGATATGAAAGTGGTGGTTCTTGTTGTGAGGAGGAAATAATGGAGTCACTCCGACGACAAGTTGTTGTTGATGCTGTGGTGGTGATTGTTGGCCTATGCGATGATGATAATGATGGCAATGAAGAGGATTGAGAATGAGCGGTCATGAGCTTGTATCAATGTGAAGCTCAGCGAGAATTAATGAAATGACGGAATGATGATGTCAACAAATGTTGCTTTGAATTGGGTCGTAGCTTTTTGTTTGAAAATTCTGCTCCAGTGATGAGTGTATCAAGAAGCAGCAAATTGTTTTTTGTAATCGCAAGTGGTTGCCTTTTCACGAAAAACCGGAGTAGATGTGTTGTCTTTTATGAACAAGTTGCGACTGGAAGGATTTTATACAATGACAAGCAGTGACAGGACCTTTGTTGATGATTGTAATAAAAGAATCTAGACAGAGGTTGCTAGCGATGGAATGAATCACTCGATGAGTGAGTTGATTTACGAAAGGATGTTGATTTTTGGAGAGAGTGACACAGAGCTCTACAACAATCCGTTTCAAATAATTTCAATAAGGTGAGAGAGGAAGAGAAGAATAATTGCAGGTGTTCTCGAGAACTATAGAGCGCTCTCGGTTTCTGTGATTCTCTTTTCTTTTCGTCGTTGTGTTGCAATTATATTGTGGCTCAAGCATGAGCTGTGACAGACTAGAGATGATTGACTTTGATCTGTCACACGTGGTTATATCTCACAAGCAATCTCTCCAAAATTGATATTACCGAAAATGATATGTATTACTAAAGAATTACTTTCAAATAGAGAGATGATTATCAATATGATAAAACAATGTTGTGCTCCACTTTACTTTTCTCGATCATGAAATAGGTTGTGCGAGAGACTATGTTTGGAATTCAAAGCTTGGGCAATTTAAGCATTAATTGGAACACCAAAAACACAATCGTTTTGGATACCCAAAGAGGTGATAGTAACTCTGGCAAATCCTTGTTCACCCCATGTGCTGCATTTGTTATTATTCATAAATTTTACAATAATATTTTCCAAAGATGCAAACATTCATGCAGCAGGTTGAAATAGATCAAATTAAACAAAATAATTAATACATTTTCATAACAACTTCGTAATACGAACCTTCCCCATCTGACGTTCAGAAAATATAACACCACATAGAACAATAAATTGCATCAGTCACCAAAATCATTCAAAAAAAAACTTACGAGTTTCTCAAAATAAAGTATTCTTGTTGTGTTTGAGGGTCAACACCAAAACCAACAACACCAACAATGTGGTTCACTTGTGGATTGGCAACCACTTGATTGAAAACACCACCAGTGTATCTTTCAAATTCTGGAGTCACTTGACTGCAATTTTTGATAATGATTTCATCATACGTCATTAGTTATTGAGCGTTACGAAATAATATATACACAAATCATCCAAAAGTTAAACACAGCAAGTTCTAAATAACAAGTATTCACTTACATGGCACAAGTAATTGGACCTCTTGCAAAAATTTCGCTCTTCATGTTGTCGGATCCCTTAATGATACCATATTGACCCACCTTGTAACGTTTAAAGTTTGGAATTGGATGACAATTAGAGGCACCAAAGGTACTGCAAGTGTAGCAAGCATTCATGTCAGTACATGTTTGATCTAAAATTTCATGTCACAGTCATCGGTAAAATAGCTCAATAACAACAACAAACTCGGTTCGGGAGAGACAATGACGGACTTACCCATAGCTCTATAATTGTTGCATGTTTCATCTGGAATTCCAAACTTGTTGGCATAGACATACACAGAATAGTGCTATATGTGATGGTGGTATTGAAATTTTTCAAAGTTTCACAAATGGACGACTCCATTAACCATTCCGAAAAACGCTACGTTTTAAATAACTTACATCTCCTCCTTTGCACTATTATTCGGCACATAATCATGATGTGTTATTGTGTATATACACATGTTAGTATGATATGTGGAATATTATGATGTGTTCAGCAACAATAATCATTATTATGATATTATTATTAATAATAATAATGGAATAATAAAGAGAAGCGTGTGTATTGACACAGTTGACACATTTGATGACGAAATACAGAATTGTTACAACACTTACTGTACCACTATTACCACAAGCCAAAACATGTTGTGGAGAGAGGTAGGCCATTGGCCAAGATGCCTTTCTAAGGATGTTGATTCTGTCTGCCAACACACTGGTAGTGGTAACAGCCCAACAGCTTCCGCATGCTTGTGGGAGATTTTGATTTCTAATTGGTGAAAGGTAGTTCACTCCGCCTTTCATATTTCAGCAACAATATTATTAGCCAATGAAATGGTTCGAGAAATCATCACGAAAGGAATTTTGATGATCATTTCATCACGATGGTGTTGGTTTGATCATGGATGAAACACGTATTCAATTTCTCATGATGATGGTACTGATGATGAGCGAAACTTACTAACATTTCTCCAATCATAGGATGAAGGAATAGCCTTCATCAATGGATAAGTCATCTTGATAGGTTCCGCATTGTTTTTCTTATTCATTTCTCTCAAGATGTGATTTGGCTCGAAACAAGCATCAAATCCGTGCAATGATGAAACCATCATCATCACCAACAACACAAAAGAAACAATAATAATTTTCATTTTTCTTTTTTTTGATATGAAAAAAATTCAGGGATGGGTTTATTCGATGATAAACGTTGTTCGATGGTTTATATGTACATTATTTACAAGCCGAACGTAAGATACGTAGTGACTTCCTAGCAGGCACCCCGGAAGTAAAGGTGTTTAAACTGCTCACGATAACAGCAGCAACCCCTGGGATTCGAACGCTGGACCAGTTGGCTGCCACAGTTCCAGAAAAACCACTCGGCCATATGCGGGCAGCTTTTTGATATGAAAAAAATCTTTTCGTGAGCCAGGTCAAATCCATCATCGGAAGCTTTAAAGGAAGCATGATTCTATTAGCTCAGAACAAACTACATCATGATTTTATGTTCAACCATGCGAATTGTATTTATTGTTACTAATCGAATAATTCAAATTTATTGTTTGAAAAAAATGTCTTCAGAGAATCAAGCGAGTAGTGCTGCGTCCTCCTCGCTTCCAATGATGGGTGTTTCCGAGTTTGCAAAACTCAGTGGAGATATGAGAGCAAGTCTCGGATTACTCGTAGAAAATGGGATTTGCAAAATTAATGGTAATGCCTCTCTCGTGGTCATGCCTTCCACTCCGAACTATGATTATTCAAAGAGTGTGGCTGGTGGAGAGAATTTACTGAATCCATTGCCAGCATCAGCCAAAGATATTTATTTGAGAAATTATGGAGGCTCGACGGGTGGTCGTCAATCCAGACCACAACAACAGAAGGAGCCACAAAATGATGAATTCTTTGCCGATAATTGGTATTTTGTTGAGTTGCATCAGTCGATTTTGCAAGAATCTACTCACAGTAAGGAAAGATATTCCAATTTATGAGTGTTGTTTTAGAGATGTTTCAACATTGGACCACAAACCACGAACAAACAATTATTTGAATTCTAAAGAGAGTGAAATATTGAAGACATTTGGGTCGGTTAAGATAGACAACAACAAAGAATATCGAAGTAGTGATGGTCAACATTGGCCGCTGGAAGATCACAACAATCAGGTAAAAGAATCTCTGACCAACACACAAGTCTGAAAAATTCAAAATCAAATACCCTATTGTACAAGTCCGAAAATGTGTATTCATTATATGCCGTACAGCGTTCGTCAATACCAAATTTAAAACGTTGCTCACGTTGCCTTAAAGTACTTTATCAATGGAATGCCAATCAAGAAATAGATTTGCATCTCATAACTATTTAAATCTTGTAATGAACCAGTAAACGAGTGCAAATAACAAGGTTTCTAGTAGTTTTAAGACATCGATCTAAACGTTGTGTGACTTCTCCTTAACCTCACAATCATCAGTTTTGAAAATTCTCCCAATTAAGTTAAATCCATGAAGATGATCAACCTCCAAAAACATTTTGTTCACTACTCTGAACTAGTTGTTGTTGTTGTTGTCATTGGTTGTGAGGAGCTTTCCTTTTTTTGTTCCAATTTTTCTTCAATCATGGCTTTGGCCTTTTTGAACTCGTCAAATGCTCCATCCATGCTATAGAGCCCAACAACGCTAATTTTAGTGGAGGTTTTTAAGGCAATACCTAGCTTCTTTTTGGTGAGTGCAAAGAACACAGGAAGTTCCATTTCATTGCATTTTTGAATAATTTCCTCAATTTTAGAATCTAGTCCACCAGGAGTTGTAATCTTGTCAATATTTGGAGCAATGACGACTGCTCGAATTTCCTTAATTTTTAAACCTTTCAAAACTTCACGAATTCCAATAACATATCTTCTTCTTGCTTTGAATTTCTTCTTGTCTGTTTTTTTCAGCCTGTGTTGATAAAATTGAAGTTTGGCCAACATTTGAAATACACAATTCTCATAGATTGGATCGAGAGGATAAGGCACGTATTCACGAATTTTTCTTTCAGTTGCTCCTTTCAAGACAATGTTCATTGACTCAGTTTCAGAAATGACACTTTCAGAGTCTGACTCTTCGCTTGCTTCATTCGGGTAATCGTTTGTATCCTCCATATTAGGATTATTTGAATCTCCATGTTCCATTGTGGAAGAAGAAGCATTCTCGCCTTCCATTGATGATTTCACATGTTCTGAATGCTCATCAACTATTGTTGATGATGAAATGTCATGATGGTCTCTTTCAATTTCAATCACAATAACATTATCATCAGATGTTTCTTCTTCAGTTGTTTCTGCTTGTTTCTGTTTTTTCAAATATTTCTTAACATCGATAAAATCAGTGGGAGATAGGTTCTGCAATTTTCTAATTTCCTTCTCTTTGAGAATAATTTTTTTCAGCTTGTTGGGTTTTTTCTTTTTTGTTGCTACAGCGACAAGCATTTCCTCAGTTCTCTTTTCATCGTGTGTTGTTGAGGTGGATGCATTTTCTGTGTCCTTAGAATTGGAAGCGCTTTGTCCTGTTTGGGGCTGATTGACAGCGAGCATAAAGGCCTTATAGACATCCTCATTAGTGACCTTATCTGAGTAAATTTCTAAACGAATGGGTTTCCTTCCTTTCATGTCCCCTTTGGTGAATAAGGCTTTTTCGAGGGCATTCATTTTGCTGATGGATTTTTTGTTTGATGCCGTTGTTTCATCTTTTTTGCCTTGTTTTTTTGGAGATTCTTTTGGGAGTTTCGTTTTGTCTGAGGGAATTGTTGAAGAGCTAGAGGTTGTTGACTTAGTATTCTTTAAGAGTTGATCAATGTCACCACCTATATGATCTGCAAGTGTGAATTCTTTTCGTTCTTGAAGTAGTGAATTGATCAGTAATTGTCTTCTTTGTTTTTTGGTGAGTTTTTTTTGAGGCGTTGTGGGAACGTTAGCAGCAGTGGTATTATTGTCTGTTGTTGTTGATGGTTTTAAGGCAGTTGGTTTGTTATTATTGGTTGCATTTTCAAATGATTGTTTTCTTTTTGCTTTGACCTCCGATTTGTTGGTCTCTTTTGTTTGTGTCGTTGGTGCAATTGTATTGTTGTTAGCACTACCATTATCACCATAATTATTGTTACTATCATGAGGTTGCGATTTTTTAGTTGGTTGCATGTGATTGGAATGTGACGCAATGACCACACTCTTTTGAGGTAAAATTTCGGAATTTGTTAAAATTCCACTCGGTTTGCTTTGTAAAATGTCCTTGTAAGAAAATGGAACAGAGGTAGCTGTGGAAGATGACGAAGAGATGGATGCACTCACTGAAGGAAAATTTTGGGAGTATTGATGAGCATGAACAAGATCCGAAACATTGGTTGGTGGTAATTCGTCTGTGGATTGTACGTGCCCTGCATTGGATAGTTGCTGCTGTGATGATGATCGTACTGATGGAATGATCATTTGTGAATTTTGTATTGCAGATTTTTGTCCTTTTCGTTTTGGTTGTTTATGACTTGAATGGCTCATATTCGATGGATCCGAGTCCTTGAATTCACTGTTTCGTATTGGTTGCTCCGCCAAGAATTTATTGTTTTTTCCCCTCTTTCCGTTATGTTTGTTATGATGATCATGCTTATTATTTTGAATTTTTTGTGAGAATGATGATTGTGTGTGAGAATGATGTTCCGACTCGTCATTTACACTCTCAAGATTGATTGGACCTGTTGCTCCTCCAATTTGAACAGGTTTGATGAGACTAGCCGATGATGATGATGATGGTATCATCATTTGTATTCTCTGACTTGGAACAAATGGCTTACTATCTGCACTCAGAGGCTTTTGCGTCATTGTATTTTTTTGAAGTTTGGAATTGAATATGTATTAAAATGTTACTGAGGTAATGTCGCCCTCAATATTTATGCTCTGATCTCCCTTACCATCCTCCCATGATGATCCTCATTATTGAGATCATCTCACGTTCACCCACATCGATCGACCAATAAATTGCATCCTCCTCTTCTCATGATCATCATAAGCATCCTTACGCGATTGGATCTCCAACAACACACAAAATTCATTGTTTTTCCTTTGCCCATTTTTGAACAAGTTTCTAAATGAACGAAAATTGCCGCGAGCGAGTGGATGATTGAAATTGCATCACAAAATTTCCATTCGCCATCCCAATAGACTGTTGTTGTTGCCCATGAGAAGAGCAACCATCAACAACAACAGAAACGCGATTCGAAGGTGGCACCTCTTGAAAAAAAAACAACGAAACAGTGTATTAGTTTGGATCCTTTCCTCGCGCACACTGATATCTTCTTCACTTGTATCCGAGAATTTCCCGAGTATATATAGCCTCTTCTTTCTCATCCGACCATCACCATCATCATCATCTATTGATTACATTCATTATTATCAAAATGTTCTCGTACGACCAAAAGTTTTTAGACTTCTCTCTGTTGGAACCATTCAATAAATTGGACCAACGAGGTAAAATTATGGCCGAATATGTTTGGATAGGTGCTGTAGATCCTATGGGAGATGTGAGGTAAGTTGAATTTAGTATGGTCAACGTTTGTCCATATGGACAGTTGTTATGTATATACTCGATTGTCCTTTCAAATAACTCAAACTCTTTCGTCATCATTTGGATTTGCAACAAACACCACACAAATTTCAAATTGTTCTTCGTGGTTGTTTGAACTTCGCGCAACGGTTGAAAACTTCCTATTGGAAAAATTTCCAAAAATGTCTGGCTGCTGATGTTGTGTGTTTACCATGTGTTGTTTGACAATGTGCAACTCTCGAACCTGATGATGGAATTTGTGACTCCATCGGAACTGTTAAAACGAACTTTTGCTTTGGTTTTCACCATTTGTTTGCACAATCATGTGATGATGACATTAATGACTCAATGGTCGTCGAACATTTCAATTCACTTTGTACCATTTTCCTCCGCCAATAATTATCATTTTTCGATTCGATTGGAATTGTTCGATGTAACACGACAGATCCAAGACTAGAACTCTCGATTTTATTCCTACATCGCCCGACCAACTCCCTGAATGGAATTACGATGGTTCGAGTACCAACCAAGCATCAGGTCATGACTCCGAAGTTATTATCAAACCAAAAGCCATCTTTAAGGATCCATTCCGAGGTGGAGACAACATTTTGGTGTTGTGTGACACATATAGACCCAACGGAGAACCACTCGAAACAAACACACGTGCACCTGCCCTAGAAATTTTCAACAAGAACCTTGCAAGCAGACCATGGTTCGGATTCGAGCAAGAGTACACACTCTACAGCTGCGATATGCATCCATTAGGTTGGCCTAAGGGTGGCTATCCTGGACCTCAAGGACCATACTATTGTGGCTCTGGTGCAGAAAAAGCATTCGGTAGAGCCATTGTTGAAGCACATTACAAGTGTTGCCTCTATGCTGGAGTTAACATCTCGGGAATTAATGCTGAAGTGATGCCAGGCCAGTGGGAATTCCAAGTCGGTCCATGTGAAGGCATCCAAGCTGGTGATCATTTATGGATGGCTCGTTACATTCTCACAAGACTAACGGAATATTTCCGTGTGGTAGTCTCATTCCATCCAAAGCCAATGCAAAACTGGAACGGTGCTGGTTTGCATACCAACTACTCGACTGAGGAAATGAGAAACGAAGGAGGATACCAAACAATTTTGGAGGCAATTAAAAAGTTGGAAGCAAAACACAAGGAACACGTTGATAACTATGGAACTGACAATCATTTGAGACTTACTGGAAAATTTGAAACATCCTCCATGGATAGATTTTCTTATGGTGTTGCTGACAGAGGAGCCTCCGTGAGAATTCCAAGAAGTACAGAAAAAGAAAAGAAGGGATACTTTGAAGATAGAAGACCAGCAAGCAATGCTGACCCATATGTCGTTTCGTCCCTTATTTTCAAGACAACTGTTCTGGAGTAATTATATCGTGAATCAAGAAAAGCTTATTTGTTTGATTACTACGAGTAGAGCAAGATGTGTGACAATTCATCAAATGATTTTTATTTTTTACATTTTTTCCAACAGAGAGAATGAGTAGTAGTAACTCAATAGTAACAACAACCATTGGACACTAACATCAACAATAACATTTACATCATCCCTAATATTTGTAAATTTGATTGTACCAATATTTGTAGATTGTAATGATTTATAATCATCAAACGTGACACTAGAGAACAAGTATGTCGATGCCATGTCGATACGCAACCACTTGTGTTACATTTTTCTTTCTCGCAAATTGTATTTCCTCAATAAAAAAACAATTCATAAAGATACATACTCTCTCTCACTCGCTCTCGCTTGATTCGACATTACTGTACAGGAAACAATTGTTGTTGTGACACATCATTAAATGATTCTCCAAAACGGTTCACGAAAACGAACAACTAATCTTCTCTAAGAATAATCAACTCATGAAAAAATGATACAACTTGCAACAACAACCGAATCTTTGAATACTTTCAAGATTTCCGATTATTTGGACGTTACAAATAATAACAATACTACTACAAATAAGAACGACAAGATAACAAATGAGAACAATAGATCTTTTAAATTTTCTTTCGAAAGATGGTTCGGAACGAATACTTTAAATCAACCCTCTACGACGACTCAACGAATTTATACCAGACATCAATATTATGCAAATGGAATTGAAAAGTTGGAGGAAATTCAAGCAGTGATGATTGTTCTGCATGGCTATGGAGAACATTGTACTTGCAAAACTGTGCAGAAAATTTCTGGAATTATGAATATGGAAAATATTGTGGTTTATTCGTTCAATTGTAGGCTCTTTAATAAGTGTATTCGTGTGACCATCACCGAAGAGGACAGTCATGAAAAGATTGAGGATATTCGAATGAATATTAATTTCGAACAAGCTTTAATGGATATTGCTTCAGCCATTGAAGATGTCTCTATTTGTTTTCCTGCTTTTAAATTTCCAAACTTGAAAATTCTTCTATTGGGTTACAGTATTGGAGCCACTTTGGGGATGCAATTTCTCACGACGACTTCACTATTTGACAAAATTCCAGACAAGAGGTTGAATGGATTGATTTTGATCTCACCATTTATCTATCATGGTTTGGAAGATGAGAAATCTCAAACTCTTGAAAAAACTTCAGAATGGACTCAACCTTCAGAAACATGGTCTTCTTATTTCTTGAAAAAAGCAAGTTATTGGATTCCCAATTATCAAATGCTTCATTTTGAGAAGGAAAAGATTAAGAAGGACTTTTCTAAGGATTCTGAGTTATTAGAAATGCTTGAAAACGATCCAGTGATCCGAGAAAATGCATCCTTCCACTCAGTATCGCCTTCATCATACCATTTACTTCCACCATGCACTGCAATTTTTGCTCAACAAACATTAGAGGCCATGAAAGAAATTGAGAAAGTCCTTTCAGAGAAGATTGTGTCACTTTCCAGAAAGAGTAATAATTTGAGAGTTCTCTTTCTGCATGGAATCAATGATGCATTATCTCCTGTAGTGAATAGCAGCATCAAGTGGCATCAAGCATTGAATCAACAAGCAGAATTCAACAACATTTCTTCTCAATTGATTCTATACGAGAATCGAAAGCATTACTTTTTGCTGGACCGAGAGAGTGAGCAAGTGTTTAATGACATGGTTCAATTCATCAAATCTCATTGTTTGAACTAAAATGGTTCACACGTCCTCTAATGAACAAATGAAGTCAACAAGAGACACCTGCTTCGAGCAACTTTGATCCAAATAAGGCAAAAAGTAATACCTTTCAAATTTCATCTCTCTCGCTCAAATGCTGTATTAGATCGTTTGTGAATACCGCGATATATATTACAAGAGATAATGAAAAGACCACATCTGGTTGTGTCATCTTTAATTATTTCATTTGAAAAAAGAAATCAGAAAACTGTTGAGTTTTTAAACTCATCAAAAGAAGAAGAAGCGTCATTATTATTATTGACTCATTCACCTCCTATCAAAAAATGTTTATCTCTCAAATTCCTCCCCCAACATTTTCGCAAAACATTCCATTCAACACAAATGAGGTCCATCACGATGAACATGTTGTGACTTTTGAGAATGTTTTTCTAAATGCAGCATCAAGACAAGTTCTCAAAGATTACTTGACAGAAGGTATGCGTCAAGAATATTTATATGATTGCATTTACATCTCAACACGAACCACAATTGTTAGATATGCACTCACCAGAGATTATTCAATTCTTGGAAAGTGTGGAAGCTCTCAGTCAAGCATCTTCACTTCAAGAAGTCCTCTCCAATGCCTTGACCATGATAAAGATATTTGTGACTCCATGTGCAATTCAAGAAATTAATATCGGTGCCGCCGAAAGAAATGCTCTTATTGAAAATTTCAATCGATTCTTGTCACAACATACAGACACCTTTCAAAGTCTTCAAGAACTCACGCCCTCGCTACTGTTCGACTTTCTTTCCATCTTTGAGGAGGCGAGAATTACAGTCACTTCAGAACTTAAACAAGACATCTTTCCTCGTTTTGTGAGATCTAAACGATTTTTGGACTTTTTGGACGGATTGCCTCCACAAAAGGAATGGGCAAGTGATCTTTCCAGAATTAATACCTCACGTTCATTGGCTACCCTGTTCACAAACCCTGTGAGTTATGAATATTATTGGAGAAATTATCAAGCTGATTGTTCGAATCAATTTATCACTGTAGAGGATTTGAAATTTGTTCATTCATTGACACTTGACAGCAGTTGGTGGAAACTATTGAAAGAAGGAAATAAGAAAAAGAAGGAATACTATACAAGCTTTGTCTCTCAAGATGCTCATCAAATCATCAAACCAGGATCCACTGAAGAACGAGATGCCAATCCACAAAAACTATTCAAATGTTCTGGTGTGATTGGTTACTCTGTGGAAGAATTGCTCTTTACCTTAAGCAGTCCTTATCTGATGATGACATTTGACAATCCTTTGAGTGTCATTGAACAATTAGATTACCTCAATCCATATGACGTGATTTGTTCCACAACTTCTCAACCTTTGAATACGAGTAGTAATGATACCACAGATCGTTTCTCACACCGTCAAGAACCAACAGTCTCGAATGTATCGATGGATAGTTTTGACATGTTGTCATTTTCCGAGCATTTCAATGATGAACATTTTCCAACCACAATTTGTACAGAAACGTATCCTTTCGGTTGGCCCATTACGAATCGAGATTTTGTCGTGTCACAAACCATCGTATATGAAGCCAAGTCACAACGTTACATACTTGTCAAGAAATCTATCAGCCATCCACTCTTTCCAAAACGAAGAGGTACCATTCGTGCCTTTACGGTTGGTGGATGGAGTATTCAACGAGTGACAGAAAAACAAACTCGTTTCTGTTTTGTTAGCTACACAGATATGGATATGAATGATGTAGTTTTCTTGAGACTATGTAAAAAGAGAGGAAAGAAACTCTTTGATGGATTGAACGACATTTTAACCAGAAATGCCAGAAATGGATTTCCACGTCCAATGTATTCGTGTGGATTATTGAATACTTTGAGTGACTTTATAGATCATTTCAATTTACCAAAGACTGTTCTCCAAGAGAATGGTGTTGAATTTTTGAAATTACAATGTCCCTCTTCAGCTTTGCATGGTGGTCATGGCAACTTGGAATGTCAAGCCAGAAACAAGTTTAAGAGCTTTGAAATTGAGGATTCACTGGTTCGACTTGTTTATATATCTCGATATGATCCAAACAAACTTGACAGTTCAGAACTCTCCAAAATTGCTCAAGTATCGATCAAAAATAATTCTGAAAAGCATATTTCTGGTTTGTTGCTGTGTTGTGAAGGAGTATTTTGTCAAGTACTTGAGGGAGAGCCCGAAGTTGTTCATTCTTTAATGCATGACAAGATTGTCAAAGATCCTCGCCATTATGGAATTGTCATTGTTAGGGAAGAGAATGGTGTGAAGGAATATGAAAGATTCTACTCTGGTTGGGCAATGAATACTGTGGATTTAATTCATTGTGACAATTATTTAGCTCAATTTGTAAGAAGGATCATTGAGACAGCTTCCAAGCTTGAATGTTTTCAACAGAATCGATTTGACATGAGCGAGCAAGAAGTGATGGAAATTATTTGCCAAAGTATGAAGAAGATTCACAAGTCGTCCCAATTCTAAATCATTGAAACACTCTGGTTTAAATATGATATTAAGGCATCATTGAGTTTCATTGTGACAACGAGTATATATGAGAACCTTGAATGTTCTTCGTTTTTAATTTTTTTTTGGATTTAGCCGAAGAAATCTGACATCCATGGATCAATAACGAGTGGATAATAATTAACAAAATATGAAAGTACAACAAGAGACTTCGAATGTCAAAAAATTTTCTGTTGTTGCTATCAAGTGAATAATTACATCTTTGTTGGTGGGTTGTGAAGGACCTGTCAGAATTCATTCCACAAAACGACAATATGGAGCAACGGCCAATCAACACAATGGATTCCCAACTCAACCCATCATCGTGTTGGCATGTTGTAATCAATGTCACCATGTATAGTATTGACTTTTCTGATAAGGCGCAATCACGCTGAGCATTCCAAGTCATGTGATCCTCACGAAGAACATAAAGTCATTAGTTGAAATATTTCACTTGACACATCATTCAAAAAAATAATTCTCAACTTTCCACAAAAACATCTGCAGCAGAACTCATGATGGCTACTACAATCAATGACCCTGCTCTTGTGGCTTCTCCTTCCACTTCTATGAACCACAACAACTCTAATCCACAACTCTTGATGAATTTTCAACCACAGCCAATGAATACTTATGATATGGAACAGAGTTGAATTCCAAAAGAACCAATATGTTTGTGAGATCCATACAATTATGTTTCAACGGAGACTCATTGTCATACCCAAATAAGCATCATGATAACAATGGTGCATTCTTGATTGATATAATTCATCACTGTACTTCAAAACAAAACCATTGCATTTAAGAGCTTCCATCACAATTTCCGGATCTTGTTTCACTTCATCACTTGCATAATTCAATGCATATCCATTGTTCATCACTGCCTCTAACATGAATTCCTTATCAGATACAATATGAACATGTTTCGATGACACAATGGAAAGACTGTTCAGTTTGATTGCTTGTAAGATAAATTCCTTGTCATTTGAAATTTCTTCTGGCACATAATCGAGAACAAGATTACATCCACTCTTAACAATTTCCAACAAGAATTGGTTGTCACACAAAAGATCTTGCGAAGCATAACACAATGAGTTTTGTGATTGTTTGACGGATTCTAAAACAACTGCTTTATCACCTTTCATCATTTCGCGAGTATACCAGAGAGATTCACCTGATTGCCTAACAGCTGCCAATACTACCTCTCTGTCGTTTCTCAATTCTTCCGATGAATATTCAAGAGCATGACCAGCTTGTCTGACCTCTTTGTCATTCTGACACTCCTCAGAGGCGCATTGAAGAGAATATCCAAGTTTACGGACAGCATTTAACACAACTTGTCTTTCTTCAGTTCATAAGACACACATCCCAATGCAAAGCCATTCTGCTGAACAGCAAGTAAGGCAATTTCTCGATCATTCTTCAAATCAGCACAAATGCAAGTGCATTTCCATCATATTTAACTGCTTTCAAAACAACATCTCGCTCATCCAATAATATGTTATTGATTTATAGCAACAAATTCTATCCTAAATTTGATGTAATTCAAATACTTAGCCCAAATGGAAGAGTTGTTTTGGAAAGAAAAAATGATTTTTGTGCTTCGGGTGCTTGTTTAAAAATGCGTACTGGTGAACTATTATTTATCAATCCTCATTTGGAGTTGAATCGAGAAGGATTGGATTTTAATTTTATTAGGACAATAGAAGTCTTTCAATAATGAACTCTTTGTTTATTATTCAAGACAATATCATGCTATAATCAAGACCTACTTCTATTTGCAAGTATTCACAAAAGATTGAAGACTTTTCTCTAAGAGTCAAATACTCATCTCCTTCCATATCTTCATATTTTTTTACCTTGACGTATAGCCTTATTAATTGCACGAAGTCGAACAGTTTATCCTTAAACCTGGTAGCCAATAGTCTCAAGTTTTTTTTTGAAAGCTTGAACTTACTAATAATATTCCAAATGTCCATCCATTGTTGTTGGCATTATATATTGAAATGCAATCGTTATCTTGTTTCACAACTTCAACAAGAATTGTTTGTCAAATCAGTATTTAATGGATCTTATTGTACAGAAAGAATTTGGCTTGATGGAACACAATAGAGGAAGGTTGATGAAAGTGTGTGTAATTCAAATTTTATTTACAATTTTTCCTTCCATAAGTTTTACAAGAAGTGTGGTTTGACTTGGAGTCAACAATGAAATCTATAATACAAGGGAGAGAATACAATAGTAGTAGAATGATTTGTCATCATTTCACTAAGAGACTAGAATTATTTTCGTTTCTTCAATTCATTCTTTATCACATCCACTACTTCTTCTAAAGGAGTGTCATTTCCACTTCGATACACCACTCTTCCTTCACTATCAATGACAAACTTTTCAAAATCCTCAACAATTGTCTTGATATTCCCATAATTTGCGAGAAAGTTGAACACCTCATTGTTGATATAAGATCCTTCTTCATTCATGATGGTTTTTAAAATGGTGAAAGAAGGACAAGACGATGATGAGGTTTCAGAAGAAATTTCTGTCGAATGATTTTCTTTTGAGGAAGTTGACAAAAATTGCTTCAAGGGACTGTTGTCACTTGTGACCGATAATTTTGAAGACACAGAACTAGTGCTTCTTGGAATGACAATTAATTCAAAATCACCACCATTCATCATTGAGTGTCCACGTCGTTTCAATTCGGCCAATTCTCTCAAAAAGTTTTTATATTGAGGATGATTGGTATTCACAATGGCCACAAGTGAAACTTTTCCTTTCATTTTCGAGAAATCAATCTTCTTGTTATTGAGATCTCTCGAAACAAAGTTGTAAAAAGTAATAGATGTGTAATTTCTATTTTGGGATGATGTGAGGTTTTGAAAAGTGGAATTTGTGGCCATCAAGATGGTCGTCATCATGGATGAGATTCTGTTTGTGTTGGTGATGGAATTGTGCAGCAAGGAGGAAAGAGCAAAACAAGAATAAGAAGAAGCAAAACATTCTCTTCTTGTTTTCAATACACTGCCACCACGAATGGCCGTGATGGATGACTTGAATACTGCTGCTGAACGCATGGTTTCTGAATGAATAAATTTTGAATTTGGAACGAATGGAATGCTCTCCACTTGGAGGAAGTTTCGAAAGTCGATGATGTTGTCGTAGTGTTGTTTTTTTCAATTTGAATGAGATTCTTTTGCATCATTCGATGGATTTGGGCATTTGATAAAAGTGATATTTCGCTCTAAAATAATGTTCCGAGACCAGCAAATGCAACCTCAATGAAAATTTTCCGTGTCTCCCATGATATTTCCGTGTTTCTCTCACCACACGTAATACTGGGTTGTCCGGTGGCGTGAGATGGTGATTTACGTGCATTTTCGCGTTTTATTTTTGTTCGTAAATTGATTGATGGAATATTGAGCAGTGACAGCACAATTCTAACCAACCCTCAAATTGTCCTAAATTGCGCCTCATTTACCACACAAGAATTCAACCACTCGGAATATCATTAATCAAACAACACAACAACATGTCGGGAATGACTACATTAACCTCATACATAACCTTCAAAGGTTTATTGTTGAGAATATTCCTTCAAAATTTGCTTAATGAAAGATTCCAAATTGTCAGCATTGATTGGAGATGGCTTTTGAGCAACAACTGCTGGTTTTTGATCAACAACAACTGCTGGCTTGTTTTCAACTTTTGGAGTAGTAGCAACAGGCTTTTGAGCAACAACTGGCTTCTTGTTCTTCAATTGCTTCTTCAATTGACTCTTCAAAGTCTTCTTCTTTTGTTGCTTCTTTTGAGCCAATCCCTTTTTCACAAATTCTCTAAGGAAAATCTGCTTCAAGAGTTTCTTCAACTTTCTCTTCAATTGTTGTCTGAGGATTTCCTTAGAAATTTCTCTCTTGGTCACACCAAAGAGTGGCTTGGAAGAAACTCTTCTTCTTGGGAAGAATCTTCTAAATTTTCTTTGTGGGAATCTTCTTCGTGGAAAACGTCTTCGTGGGAATCTTCTTTGTGGGAAACGTCTTGCTCTTCGTCCTCTTCTTTGTGGGAATCTTCTTGCGAATCTTCTAGCATGAAATCTTCTCAAAGCTCTTCTCTTAGCAGCTCTTCGTTGCAACTTTCTCAATAAGGTACGAACAATTCGGACAGCACGAGCGAACTTTCTTGAAGTCTTCAACTTGGAAACAATTTGAATGGCTTCATCCTTCTTTCCTTGCTTGACCAATCGACGCAAATAACGAACAATCTTGGACAATCTTCGCAAGTAGGAGATGGCAGTTCTACGATCGAGTTGCTTTCTACGGATGGAAGTGGACTTGATCAAACCGAGTTCTTTCATTCTTCTCAACAAGGATTTCAAGTACTTGGTTGGGTTTCTTCTTCTTCTTCTGGAATCTCTTCTTCTTGGTCTTCTTTCATCTCTGTTTCTTCTTTCAGCGACAGATTGTAAGAATTTTTCCAAGAGTTGTTGTTTATCGGCTTCGGTCATCATGGCCTCTGTGTTGGTTTGTTCGGTGGCCACTTCTTGTGCGCTGACAAAGACAGCGGCGAAGAAAAGAACAGCAAGGAGTGCTGCAAAGATGAATTTCTTCATGGCGTTGTATGTGTATTTTTTAGCGGATGGTTTTCTTCAAATTTGACAGCTGACACTTGAAAAAGCAATGCGTGATTATGATATTATAATCGAAGACATTTTTAAAAATGTGGGATTGCAATGATGGTTATGATTTGTTCGCTCTTCAGAGTAGTACACTAATAAACATTCTCGTTCGGAGAACAAATCGCCAATAGATCATTAGGTTGTTGTTTGTCCATTCTCCTGTTTCAGAGGATGAAAAGCTCAACACGTAAGTGGAAGATTATGCGGAAGTGAGAAGCCTACTAATGTTAAAATTTATGAGTCGGCGTCAACTTTGTTTTTATTGACGAGTGTCATACCCAAATAAAAAACTGGATATTATTGGATTATTTGTATTCAATATTAATTGAGGAACTTACTGAAGAGATACTGGAATGAGAGAATGGGGGCAAGACTGAGCCAGAGTTGCAGGATAAGTTAGGTTTGCAAAGTGATTCTAAAGGTTTGTGTGATTCCATGCAATCCAATAACATCATGCACTTTAATGTCATTGTTGTCATGCCTAAATAAGCATCATGATAACAATGGTGCATTCTTGATTGATATAATTCATCACTGTACTTCAAAACAAAACCATTGCATTTAAGAGCTTCCATCACAATTTCCGGATCTTGTTTCACTTCATCACTTGCATAATTCAATGCATATCCATTGTTTATCACTGCCTCTAACATGAATTCCTTATCAGATACAATATGAACATGTTTCGATGACACAATGGAAAGACTGTTCAGTTTGATTGCTTGTAAGATAAATTCCTTGTCATTTGAAATTTCTTCTGGCACGCGTTTAAGAATGGCATGTTGTCCACACTTCACCAAATGAAAAATAATGCCATCTGATAAAGAAGAGAATAAATCATTCTTCACTAGTTTTGTATTCCGGGAGGAGTGGTGAACAATCTAATTTCGACTTTTTTTGGAGCCATAAATTCTTCCACTATCCCATTCATATCATCACCACCGTTGATCATTCTTCTGTTTCATTCATGTTGTTTGATTTGAAAATTGGGTTAACAGGTGAATCACCAAAGAGTTCTTGCAAACATTCGAACATTATTATGAAAAAAAATGAAGAAAGAGGACTTTTCTCCCGTTCTGAAGAAAAAGAAACAATTTCATCCTTCTGAAGTGGATGACCATCTCGCATTGGAAAACAAATCTGAAACAATAACTTCTCCCAAAGAATCCGAGCATAGGTCCATTCTTCTTGCTTCTGATACTTTAATATGGATCGGATCTTACTTGGATGTTCTTGATATCATCAGATCCATGTCCCGAGTTTGTAAATTTTGGAATGATGTGTGTTGGGGCGACGCATTATGGAAGGGATTATTTCAGAGAGAATTGGGAGAGGTGGATTGGTTTATGGACAAGTTGAATAAGAATTTACAGAATGCCAAGTACGATGATGATCTACCTCGCCCGATAACGTACAAGATATGTCCCATGAAATCATTTCGTTCATTATGGAATAAGGACAAAGATTGTTCCAATAGCGATAAGTTGTCGTACAAGATCATTACAGAGGATCATCCACATTTCATTGATTATGAACATAGGCCTGGATATGATACAGATAGCGACGAGGAGGAAGAGAGGATCAGTAAGAGTAGCACTTTGAAAAGAAAGAATCCAAAGAAAGAGACAAAGAACAGTTTTGCCAAAAAACGAACGGAACCTCAACAGGTGGTTGAAATGCTTTCTCTTGGAATGGTTCAACAAGTTCTTGAAGACTGCTTTGGAGAAGATAGATTTTGGATGAGTTTGTTTAAATTGGTAGTTTCCATGATACCACTTCAGAATTACAAGATGATGACTGAAAAACAAATCATTCAACCTCTTCAAAATGTCGAATCAGTTCCAAAGGATTCAGGTGTTAGGGAAATTGATGATTATGATAGCAACAAAGACAATGACGAAGAAGAGGAGGACGAACAGGAATCATCACAACTTTCATCACCCAATGAATTCTTTCAGAAGGATCATGTGTTTAAGGGACACCATGATGAGGAATCATGGCATAACCTCATTTCAAAAAATTACTGTTACTTTACAGTTCTGTTAAATGAAATGGTGACTCGTATTGAGTCAAGTGAAGTGGAACATGCTTCTCTTTTCAGAAAAGCGTTATATTTGGATATTAAGACTCACAAACTTGCTGTAATTTTGAGCATTTTCGACAGACATGGATTGATATTGAGATATTTTGGTCGTGATCATGACACTACACAGAATTATTTGACCAAAATCGATGACCAACTCGCAATTCATGTTCAAAACGTTATCAATTATAATCATTTCCAGAAAAAACTTCCAGCTCTTCCAAGAACACCCTATATTGCGGAATGTGATCAGATGTGTGTTGGTGTTAAATCATGCTACCATCTCATAACAGTCTTGAAATTCTGTTTTTATGTATTGTGTGAGAAAGAGGACTTTATTTATCAGCCAAACTTAGGTTTGAAACAACAGGAGAAAGATACCGCATTGATGATGAAGGATCAACAATCAGTTCTGCAAAATAACATTTATGATGATCAGTTAATTGACACTAAATTACCGCTGGAAAAGAATGTTGCCGTTGGACCTCTTACACAAGATGCATTCATGCCATTCTGTAAATATTTATTGATGGACAGACCTGTATTTGACCGCTATTCATATGGAGTGTCTCGTGTTTCGGTGAAAATGGATGGACAACGACAAGTGGCTCATTTCGCATCAGGTAAGCCAGGATGGTGTTGCGGATTTTGGAATGCCAATTTTTATTGGTATCACACTGCAAGATTTGAAACTTTGCTCGGAATGGAATGTGACGAGAATGCACATTCTATTTTGAGAGTGGAGCAAGACCAATCTAATATTTTACACAATTTATGTTGAAGTACTTAACGAGTGTTGAATATTGTTTTGGAATGATTTATCAAAACGATTTTCATATTAACATCATTGATAAACAGGTGTTGATAATATATTTATTTACATTGTTCATCTCCATATTATTGCGAAATCTCATATTTCATGCTTCTCAAAATTCGTTGATCGTTGAAATATTGAACGACATAAATCATGAAGAGCACTATTGTGGTAATGCAAAGGAAGGAAAAGATTCCAATGCTCGTGACAAGGTAGGGATTCAATTTCTTTCCACTCACATCTGATTCTATCACCAAATCATACATGGATTCAGTGTCGACAGTGTTAATCAAAAGAATGGTGATACGTCGAGTTCTATTTCTGAACAATTCATTCATATCGAGAGATTTTTCATTCACATCTTCCAAATCATGAAATGGGAATTGTTGTCTCATTTGCTCAATATTCGATTCATCAATTTGTGAATTTTCGACAAAAGTTTCATTACTCGTTTTGGCATAAATGTGCAGTTTTCCAAGTTTTGAAGTTTTGGTGAGTTTCACATGAATATCAAAGAGTCCATTCGACAACTCGCTGTATGGTAATGTTAAGTGATACAAATGGATGGTATTTCCAAATATAATATTACTTCGATAGGTAGCTTCCTTTCCAAATGTAATGTCATGTTTAGCTGTGGAACAATCTTGCTCATAGAAACCTGGTGAGCATTGACAAGTGGCAGGAACTGTTGCAACATTGCATTGGCCATGGCCACTACATAAGTTCGGACATTGTGTCAACAACGTGTCACTGGTCATGCTATTTTGTGGAGTGGTAATTGATGAACCTGTACACATTCCACCACCCGTTGCATTATACGCAATACTATACGAACAAAATGATTTGTTGTCTAAAAATCGTCTCACCATCTCAATAGACGCTTGTGGAATATCATGAGGTGAAATATGTCCCGAATTATACAACACTACTTGTGTCAGGTTGTCGTATTTTCTGAAAATTCCGATGGCTTTTTGTGGATCATTTGCATTCGAATTGGTCAAATAAATTGGATAATGTGGTTCATAGTTGAAATTAAATCTTCCATACCAATCCATATATCTAAAATATTCATTGGTACCATAAACTGGACATCTCAAATCAAACTGTCCATTATAGATTAAAATTTTGTATTTGGAGAGAAGTGGAACAAGTTGTGGCAAATAACTTTGTTGAAAATCACCTCTGAATTTATCCCAAATTTCAGTACTGCATTGTTCATAGTTGTAAGTGGTCACAAGAGTGGCATCCACGCCGAGAAGTACTTTTTTAACATCATCTCGTTTCAAATAGGTTTCTAATTGTGCCAAGGCACTGTATGTTCCAAAAAGTCTGTAATCATAAACATTGACACCACCTGCATTTCGTAACATTTCATTGAGAGCTGATTGACAGGCACCACTATTTCCTGTTTTTTTGTACATTTGTTGTTCGACAAATTCATGACATAGGTGTTGTTTCGAATTGACTCGAACCTGGTTAAAGATGTGTTTGAAATTCGTGTAACATTAAACAACAAATTCGTCATGATCATGTCACCAATATAAAGGTCAGATATTAATAACACTCAAAACGTCACACACTCATTCGAATACTTACTAATCCCGTATAATCACTCAATCCCACAATATATGCCAATTCTCCATAAGTTCTCTCCTGAATATCAGGTGCAATCCAAGCATTTCCCATCGCAATTCCTTGCAACGGAATGGTCACTTCACTTGGTTTTTTCTTTTCATTGTATTGTGCAATTGCATTCGCCAATCCAATCACATACTTTCCTCCATAAGATTCACCAAATAAATACAATGGACTGTTCACATATTGTGGAAATTGATTATAAAATTGCTGCATGGCAAAGAGTAAAAATTGAGAACCAACATTCATGGCATTATCTGGAGATTTCGAAGCAGGAAAACTATATCCAGCGCCACTCGGATTATCAATCAACAGAACATGATAATATTGACAATATGAATACATGGTATGATCGACCAAGGATGGTTGTTTCGTCGAAGGATCATTCGAAGGTTTGAATCGAAGTGGACCAATTTCCATAAACAATCCAATCATACTACTACATCCAGGACCACCATTGAGCCACAACAGCAATGGAACATTCGGATCAATCTTTGAAGATCCCAATTTTGGAATCAATAAATAATAAAGTTGAGCATCATTCGGAGTGGTGATGAAACCACTTTGAGCAGGAATGGAAGGAGAAGAAGGAGCGAGAGGAAGAGTTGCCAAATCGATGGATTTAGAAGTGATACTTGCTGCTTGTATGAGAAAGGAAGAGGCTAGTGCTGTGATGATGAGGAATGATGAGAATAATAAATGTAATGATGATGGGATGGAAATTTGTTGTGTCGAAAGGATGGAAAAATCGAGTCGGAACATGGAACAGAAATTTTGAAAGAGGTGAAAGTTTGAGTCAGGATGAGGTGAGGTGGGTTGTAGTTGGTGGACAAGAAGAACAGGATGAAGGTCAGCAACAGCACACCCAGTTAAAGCATTATTTTTTTTGGAGTTTTTAAAAGTGTCAGTTGTCATTTCATATTGAGGATTCAATTAGAGGTCACATTTCTTACCATTTTGCTGATTCTGCGTTTAATCAATTAAAACAAAACAAAGGGTTATGCTGTCGAAATTGATATCCTGAATTTTCTCATTTGAATTCTATTGATTATTCAAAAAAGGAAATTAAGATGAAACTTGTTCAAGAAAGTTGACGTTTAATTGAATTTGCAAGTGATGAACTTAAGAATGATCGAGATTTTGTTTTGCACACAGTCAACCTAATGGCTACTCACTTGATTATGCTTCTGAAGATTTGAAGAACAATCGAGAAATTGTTTTGGCTGCTTTCAAAAATGATGTTCTGAATGAAGTGAAGGGCATGAATTTTGTTCAAATTTGAGAAAATTTTTTATAAATTGACTTTCAGCAACGTTCGAATTTTCTTCTTTAAGCCGAACATTGAAATTCCATAACAATCTCGAAAAGCATCTTCAGAAAATAAAACATAACAAAATCCCCACATTACAAACGAGAGAATATATCCTCCAATTCGATGTTTGAACATTCGTGAGAATAATGTGTCCCAATAGACATTGCTTGAACTCATATAAGCAATTTCTGTAATGACTTCATAGAAGAGATAGGCAGTTCCAGGAATTAAATAAAGTAAAATATCGAGTGAACTGATCAATGATGATAAATTCAGGTGGGAATGGAATATTATTCAACATTAAATGTCACATTTCAAATAATAAAATTCTTACCTTAAATTTGAAAAAGTTAATGTTTCGATTCTTTTTCAGCATGAAATAAATTTTCAAAGAGTGTGACAAGATAATTGACCAAGAAATGATGAGAGTGATAAAAGTAACTGGAACTGAACTCACTCGAATGTATTGACTCAACACATAGGCACTAAATGCTGTAATCAAACAAGCAATAATAAATCCAGCATTTAACAAGAGCACAATAAATACCACAATTTTGAACAATTATGAACATCGAATTGATGAATTTGGAATTCCCTTAAAAATATCATTAGCATTCTACTTACAAGGCGTGAATGGATATAGTTGCGTTTTGGTGTTTCAATGTTAACAACAATTCCATAAATGTACCTGACAGAGGAATTAAACCTGTGCAAAGGAAGGATAAGGAAGCAAGTAAAGCAGCTACATTCATATGCACACTCGTTCCATATTCATTATGTGCCACACAAAACACCAATGCATTCAAAATTAAACAAAAACATGACAGGTGACAACATATCGCTGCTAAGAGTTTTGAGTCAAAGAATATTCGAATGTAATTCATTAATATCTCCTTGACAGTGCTCCAAACGGATTCCGAGTTTTTAGGAGGAAAAACTTGTTGATGAACGATTGAAGAAGGTGTTGGAGGACTATTTTGAGTTTCCAAAATTGTTAATTGATGAACTGTTGGAGAATGATTGTTAATTTCTTTGAGATAATGATCATTGTGTTTTCCTTTGTGAATGATTAGCAAAGAGTTAGTAATTCGAACCTGTTCTTGGAGCTTTTTGAAAATCTTTACAAAAATTGGAATTCCAATCAAGAGAAATATGACAGCAAGGTGAAGGGAATAGAGAAGTACCTCAATTACTTTGAGAAACAAGTGTTTGCTGAGAGGAATCCATGTTGTGACATATACTCCTTTACAGTGATCAAAGGACAATGAAAAAGGTACGTCATAATTGTCTGAACAAAACGCCAATTGTGTACGATTGTAAAAAGTTAATTCAATTTTTCCATATTTGTAAAGTAAGGTCTTTCCAAAGAGAATATCAAGTGTTTGAATTTATGTATATTCACTCAATGAAGCGATCATTGGAAGTGTTTGAGTATGGAATATTTCAAAATATGGATTGGATTGATTACAAAATAAAAAGAAGTTGAATGCATTCACCAATTCTTGTAAATTCAAAACGTTATTTGACGAAACTGAATACTTGTTGGTAAATCCTTTTGTATAGAATGTTCGTTGGATTGAATAGTTTCTTTGTTGATCCATCATTAGAGTTTCCAAATATGGAATGAAGAGCGCTTTCATCAGAGTGGCGTTATTGAAATGAGGAAAGAGCTGAAGTGTTTGAGCGAACAACTCTCTTGAATTGAGAATGTATTGACAATAAGATGTTTGTTGCGAGAGAGTCACGTCCACAATCGTGTAGGTATAATCAAAGATTTTGATTCCTTCAATGGCCGTATCATTAAATTGTGTGTTGAACACCGCATCACAATGATACAACTCATAATTTTGAATCATATCTTGTGTGTAATTGAAGAGAGAAGTAGTGGCGGAACTATTGTTGAGTCCGTAGAAAGAGGAAGCAATTTGTCGTGTTCGGTTCAGAAGGGGACAATTTCGAGTGGTGAATGGTGTGGGCAAGTCTTGTGTTGTCCATGCGCAAGTGTTGCTGGTGGATATGATCATAACCACCAAAAGAAGCGAAAATGTCAGCACTGTGGATTCTTGTGGTACAAATGGCATGATGTCGTTTTATTTGTTTTGAATGGAGTTGAGCCATACCATTCTGAGCGACATGGACAAGGTCAGTTCTTCACTGTCGCTTGAATAAGTCCTCACTTTCTTTGCGATAAGATCTGTCCAACTCACTCCTAATGCCCATTAAGAGATTGGCAACGGCTCCTGTCATGCCTGCAAGAGGTGACAACACAACATGAGGCAACGACCACATATTTCCTGTTCTTGGTATAGCAATAACCGCAAGTTTTGCATTTTCAAAACCAGTTGACAGATCTTTGTATGCTTTTTGAATAGCGTCGTTAATGTTGTTGGGAAGGTCGTCGTCAAGACAAGAGGCTGTTGTGCTTGGTTGTTGAGGAGCATCATCATCCAAATAATCATAATTAACGTTTCTGAGTCCAGTGTTTGTTTTTACATATTCATCAGCGGAGGATACAACATAATTCACACCACTTGCAGCATTAGCACTCAGTTGCACTGTTCCAACAGATAAGTTTGTCACAAAGGATACCACGCCTCGTCTCAGGCCACGTAAAATTTGACCATCCGTTTGATAGGATTGAACTGGCAATACAATCAAATCTGCCATACCTGTTCCAATACTATACATGGATTTCAGTGGCATTATTCCTAACAGCATTCTGAAAACGTCACTGGTATTAATAGATCCAAGAATTAAGTTGGTAGATCTCGAGATGATCTCTTCGATACCACTGACTCCATTAAGCTGGATGGCCTTAATGCAAACTTCAGACCCTGTTATTGGTACCAAATTCACCATTTGCACAATGGACCGATACGAAGTAATTCCACTTTCCTTTACAGTGTCAAGATGGACTCGAACTGGCTGATAGTCAATCTTTAGATTGATTGGGCTAATGCGGAAATGTTGGAAATAGGTTGGAGATGACCTTGGCGAATTTTCAACATCAGTGTTGGTCTCACTTGAGTTATTAACACTCGTGTTATCACTGCTGCTATCGTTGGTGGTTCCCTTTGTGAAAAAGTCCACAAGAAATTCCACCGTTGTCTGATGTAAGTTAAGCCTAATAGGAAGTATGTCAATATCGATTCTCACTTCAGTCTCGTTCATACTTGGAACGACAGGTTGTTGCCAAATAACTTCATACACGAGATCAAACATGCTGCTTCCAGTCTCTCTTGGATTTTGAATAGATTCCCAATACTTTAGCATCTTGTTTCGATTGGACATTTTAAGCTTATCAATAATTTCAATGTCCATGATGGAAACATTCAGTCTTGAAACGTAAGTGGACATTGGATTCTTTGGGAAAGTATCCAGTTGCAAATAAATATCATTGAATACAAATTGAACTAATTTACATGAGTCTCTCGTGCTAGTGATTATATCCTCTCCGAATAAATAACTTGATGCATCAGAGCTTTGACTCTCCGAAAGACTTTTTCCTGTCGATTGCTTTTCCTCCCAATCACTTCCACCATATAAATGGCAAACAATATTTACCTCCTTCACAACCAATTCAAAGGTTGGAGTTGGATAATCGTTCGGTAGAATGGTACTCTTTTTGACATCTTCCTGAGTGACTTTTGGAAAATATTCTCTCTGAATGAATGAGCTGAGCAAAGTTCCCTTCATGGAATCGGATGGCTTAATAAAGGTACTTCCAGAGCCAGTGTGGTAAACACTTGTCACAAGAAGTTCATCATCGTCTTGTCTTCTACTTGTTGACATGTAAGAGGTAGATGATCCTGGTTGGATGGTAGGATTTGGGGGTTGTTGGTTCTTTTGTGTATCGTCACCAGTCAAATAACCGAAATTGACCCATGAAGACAATGAAGAAATGTAGCTCTGAATGGTGCCAGACTCTACTTGCTTGTTGCTTCCACTTGTTGATCTGTGCTCAGTCTTGGTTGAATCCTTTGGACTAACATTGCTACTTCCGATCAGGGCACTTGGATTGGATTGTTTTCCAACAGGTAGACCCTCTGTGACCGCTGTTGACTTTCGGGTTGTAACTGACGCAAATTGGTGATCATTAATTCCCTCAAGTATATTTCCAGTATGTGAAATCACTATGGTATCTTCTCTTACGTTATTTGTTGTAGTAGATGAGGCATAATTAATAGTAGGAAGAGTGTCCTTTCCAGATTCCAAACTAGGGTACAATACATGTTGTTTTGATGTAGAAGAGTCTGACGCACTTGTACTGTTAGGAGGTTCAGCTTCTGGTTCATTTTGGGAGCTTTTTGGGAATTGTTTGGCAATTTCTCTCACGACTTCGATCATAGTCTTGAGTGAGTCATTACAAAACTCAATCATGATAGTTCCCTTGGATATTTCTACCTTTGTCAGAGGTTCTTTTTGTTTCTGAATTTCTCTTTCCTTCTCTGTCATGATAATGCTAGTGACGATCTTTGATTTGAAAATGCTCTTATTGTTCTCTGGACTACAAACGAGCATACTTTGGCCTAAAAATGTCTCTGTGTTTGTTGGTTTTTTGAATAGCTTAATTTGTAAGGAGTTTAAGCTTGCAATTTGAACAAATCGCAAATATTTCAAGTCATTAATGAAGCCAAAGTCGCTCCTTGGAAGACGCTTATTTTTAACCTCCTCGTGAATGTAATCTAAAACATCTGCGCTGAAATTGTTGTTCAATAGCAAAGAAACACCTTCAATATTGATGGTGAATATCGTTTCTCTACTTGAAGCAGGTAGATTAAGAGCTGTCTTAAATCCAATCTTATCGACAGCCAAAATTGCTCTAGCAGTGCATGGAGTTGGTGGCTTGTAATCCACAATACAATCATGCAAGGCTAAATTTAACGACAGTGACAGGGCAAGATTCGATTTCTCTTCGTTGCTTGCAAAAAACTCTGACAAGAAATTTTTCCAATCATTCTCCGGGCTCGTTGTTAAGAGAGAGCTCAAATAGAGTCCGCAAAAATATAATTTTGCTCTACTGGATATACTTCTGGTGGGATCTTTTGAAATTTCAGTGATTACAGAAATACTAGAACAATATTTGTTTGATCTAAAACTCTTGACAATCTTGTCATCTCGTCGTATAATGTTGGTTCTTTGGTGGTTATGAACGTCATACAAGTTGATGTACTCATTTGAAATGAAAGTTTTGATCAAAGTACATGGATGATTGTTGGATATCCAGTCTGAGAATATCACTACTAGGGCGTTCAACTTTTTCAAATTGAAAGCCAAACTTCTATTTGCTTCTGGATCCGAAAGTCTAATCACAAGATCATGAATTGAGAATTTCATGGCAAATGATGGGCTAGGACTTGAATAGAGAATATCTCTCGAAAGTTTTTGGCTTTCTTGTTGTTCTTCTTTTTTCTGCCCTAAAAAACTAGAAAATGCTTGTGACAACGAGGAAAAAAATGAAGCCAAACGATCGAATTGGTCCTTTGTTAGCTCAATAACGCAATCTCCACCTCCCTTATTTTCGGAAATATCTACTATTAGAGATATGTTGGCTTGCTTCAAAACTTTTCCGCCAAGAATTGTGTCCTCAATCGCATCTACAGAAAATTCAATATCATCGTGTTCATCCTTTTCTGAAAATTGTTTGTCACTCGGAATGGGTGCATCCTCTAGTGTCGTCTCATCAGCAAAATCCTCACTTGATGAGTCCAGAGAGGAATGTTCGAAATATTCTTCGTCATAAGAATTTTCTTGATATTTAGGTGGACTGTAAGGCACATTACTATAGTACATTCTATTTTCGGAATATCTATGTGAACTCGAATCATCGGTCGAGGCTTGTTTCAAGGTTAATAAGATATCCATAGGTCTTAATTTTATAATATCATGAACATCCTTGCTCTTTAAAAGATATAGATTAGTTTCTCCAAAGCTGATAGGCAGTACCGTTTCCGTTTTATCGCTCTGCACTCTCTCGTTAGCATTCAAATCAACCTCATTCTCATTGGTATAATACAACTTTCCGTGCTCGTTGAAGTGCGCCTTAATTTTGATTTCTTGACATTCGAGGCGAACTTTGTCCTCTCTGAACTGATGTTTTGTCTGCAAGTCGTTTGTTAACTCTTTTGGAAGAACCATATCAAGCATGATGACAGAAGTTGTAATCTCAAACGCTGTCTTATGCGGTACTGCAATATGAGATTCTTCTTCGAGATTTTCCAAGAAGGCCTTTTCAAAGTCAAATTCTGAATGGTGTTTGGCTTGTTTCTCTGCCATTGATCTTGAAAACATGGTTATTTTGGAGACTAACTTCTGTGAGACTTGGCTTAGGCGTTGAATAAAACCAGGGTCTAAGGTTACCTGTAACGGATTTTTGATCATTAAAGTGTGTTTCAAACAATTATCTCTCTTCATAAAATGATAACCATAATTAATTTGGGGTTCAATTTCATCTGTCGAATTACTTTTAGATTTTTTCAAAAATTCTAAAATCCTCAACTCCGAATACTTGTAGCTACTGCCTAGTATGTCATAGCATAGTCTTTCAGAAAGTTGAACGTCTCCAATGGCGAGTGTTAGTGTCGTGTCATGTTTTTGCTGCTTATTTCCATAGTCAAGTGTGGAAAATGTATCGTTTGTGTTGCCATTTCCACTCAAAAATGACAGAGTGCAAGACAATCCATTGGAAAGTTTGAGAGATATATGGCCAATGCCAGGTATGACAGGTCCGTTTTTGTCAGAGTTCTTGAAGAAGTTTCTCCACATACTACCTAAATTTGCCTCCTGATATAATATATTAAAAGTTGCTGCTTTGAGAGTTATTGATATGTTACAACTGATGGTAGGAACATTGGATCCAACAAAGGGCGGCGATTCAGGTTTAGTGACCTTAATTGTTGGCATGTTTAACAATTTGTTATTAATGGGTTGATTGCCGTTTTTGCTCGGAGTTTTATGGAGAGGGCTAGTCTTCTTCTTAACAGGGGATGTTGCTGAGGGAAGCTCTTCTGTTTCAGAGTCTTCGTCGTCGGTTGAAAATTCCACAAAAGCACCTACATCTATTGGCTTCTCCTCATTATCCTCACCATCATCAAATTCTTGAAATTCTAAATTCTCCATTTCTGACTCATGAACCTCAACATGCTGATTCATCAATTGTTGTGCCATACTTTCACTCATTTTCTTTGTAATTGGAACATCTATACTTTGTGTCATAAAGTCTGCCTCCATCTTGCTTATACTATCCTGATGAGGAGTAAAGGCAGTCATCGATGGATCTTCTTGGTGTTGTTGGCTTTTTTTCAGAGGGAGTGCTAATACTGAATGAATCCAATCCACCAATATTTACACTTGAACTGTTGAGAACCTCTAAAATTTCGAGAAGAAGTCCCATCTGACCTGGAGAGATTACTGCATGAATCGATGAAATGTCAAAATCAACATCTAGACGTGATGTCGTGTCACTCGACGTTGGTATAAATGATGGAGAATAAGTTCCTTTTGCAGATGATTGCACTGTTGCTGTGTTTGATGGCTTGATAACAATTTTGATTCTATTATTTTCTGTTTCTCCATAGAAAATCGTGTTCGCGTCATCTAGAGTATTCGATGGTTGACTATTTACAATGTAACTACTTGTGAAAGGATTTTCTGTCGATGATTTCATTTCATCCTCATAATGTACATTATCAATACCAGACTCGTTCATATTCTCGAGATTTTTGTTTTTTCGCCTGATGCTTTGATGAAACTCTTCAAATACTTGTAGGAATATTCCTTTGAAAATGAAAGAGTAAATAAATGAGGACGGGCCAAAAGCTTCTGTTTTTGGAGTCTCATCCAAATATTCTAGTCGAGGAAAGTGTAATAGTAATACATTTTTCAGTTTTCCTTCTTTTCGTTGTGAGTATTCTTGTTGTGGAAGAGAACCGATTGATTTTGGTTTGGGAAATTCAAGTCTGACTGTAACATTTGTGACATAGGCCTTAAGTTGCGATATAACTCTCTCTACTGCTTGAGAAATTATAGTATGGCCTTCATTGTAACCGTAATTATCTTCCTCCTCGGTTGTTGGTGTGACAATAGTTGATGATGAGGCATCAGTTTGTTGATCTCCAAAATCTTCTAAATCATTGAACTCGGAAGCAATATCGGATTTTGTAACGTCACCAACAAGAATACTACTCGCAAGTACATTCGGATCAAAATTAGTTGTTGAGTGAAAAAGGAATGAGTTTGCTGCATTACCAATCCCACTTGTATCTTCATTCATTCCCTTAAATTGTAATTGAACTTCAAGGCCATTCAATTCCAATATCATGGATTCTTTGAAAATATCGAGTAAAGAAGGTATCTTGACACATATTTTCTCGATATATCCGCTTGTCAATTTGAAGGGTATTCCATCTTGTTTAGTGGGATTTTTACTGTTGTGCATTAAAATATTTTCGTTAATTTCTTTCACCTTGAGCTGTACATTCTTTAATTCAAAATCGAAAGAGTTGTGTTGTTGTTGATTTGAAGACGATGCGAATTGTGAGGCTTTCCTATGCTGTTGTGGTTGCTGTGAAGAACCAGGTAATTGAACGTCGAGCTGAGAAAGATCGGGCTCCTCTATAAACCTTCCGAGCAGTCGTTTGATAACAAACTTGAATATTCGTTTCTTGATTGGATCGGTTAGTTTTGAAGAGAATCCAAACCAAGATCCTATTCCGGACATGATTGATCGTTGCTAAAAGTGATTTTTAGAAAATCCCCTATGATGATGTTGAGTTTGAATGGCGAGAGGATTGGATGAACCACCTCTGTTGTTGTTGTTGCAATCAATGATGTATATTATTTACAAACAGGAATGATGATGGTCTATATTATTTACAAACAGAGATGATGGTGATGATGATTGTGCTCTCCGAAGTTAGATTCGATTTTGTTTTGAAGAACGGTACAACCAGATTATTTTTAACTACACTTTTGCACGTTATTGTTCGAACAGTTCCTTTTCTCAGGCTTCGAAACGAATCAAAGCAACAACAAGGATTTTTTTTTATTATTCATAATGGCCAAATCCGTTTAGCACTTCAACAAACATTCGTCATCACTTCCCCTTGTTTTGGTCTCGAATGCGTTCAGCAAAAGAGCAAATTGCTTTGTATTGAAAGTGTAGTTTCCTATTGAGTCAATAAGAGCACTGAGAGAATCTTCTGTCTTTTTTGGTTGTTGTTGTTGTGTTGGTGATTGAGAAGTAACGGCTCTTGGGCTATTATTGCTCATTGCAAGTGTTGTTGAGGGAGCTTTTGCTTCACAAAGCAAGGACAGCATTGCTTCCACTTGTTTACAAAAATTGGTTTCCTTGTCTGTTTTTGGTTGATTTGAGAGACACTGATACAGCATGAAAGAGGCCAACTTGATAAAGTGAGTTCGTTCAGCTTGGTTTTGAATTTTTCTTGGCTTTTCCTTTCCCAAAGCTAAAATGTCAGCCATATCATTGATGGATATTTCCAGAGGTTTTTTCTTTGAATTATTAATACCACCGCTCTCGTGGAAACCCGTGATTTTCTTTGTCTTCCTCAATAACAAGGTGAGTAAGAATTCAGCTCGTTGTTCATTGGTTTGAAAACTTGGATAGGCATTCATGAATTCGGTAATGTGCATCTGATTTTCATCGGCTCGGTCCACCGAAGAGAAAACATGTTGAACTAGTTTTGAATTCCTAAACTCTGAGTAATTGGTCTTCAGAGCATCAAAGGATATGCATCGGTCATCTCGATCGTCGAGTAGGGATGGATCAAATTGCACCTCACCCAATAATGGAGAGGCTGTTGAGGATGAGAAACCTCCTCCTCCACCACCACTAAATGACGTTCCACCAGAGCCACTATTGAATGAGGAGCCTCCTCCACCAATGCCACTTCCTCCACCGACACTACCAATGAAGGATGGAGTGGAGGGTTGATTTTGTTGTGGAGTGGGAGTCGAGGTACCATCATTCGTGTCCGAATAGGTGTTGTTGTTATTGTTGTTGTTGTTATACATATTCTGCATGGAATTAAGCAACTCTTGGGAGTGATAATCTTTTCGTAAGGCCTCAAATCTACATTCATAGAATACATCATTGAATAAATGATTGTCGATGGTGTTTGGACTCCATGTTGTTGGAGAGTATGATACAATGCATTTGTTGGAATTTCCTGCCTGAACCTTAATGGTCTCACCAAAGTGAGACGAAACGATTAGACGATGTTCTGCGACCGAAGGAGCTGAGCCCATGATGGATGGGTTGAGAATTTTTTGAATCTAAAATTTTCTGTTCAGCTTTTCATTTCTTCATCATCTATTCAATTACGATCAATCAATAATTATAATAAATAAATATCATGTGCTAGCACAATAATAAATTTTAAATAAATCAAATAATATATATTACGGATGTCGGACACATAACATTATATATTTATAGGATCATTAAATCAATACAATAGTAGTTCGTTGTTGTTGCATTTAAAAATTTAACGATGATTCTTCGGCGATTTTCTTTCATGAGCGACAATTAGAACAAATTGATTTAATGAAAAAAATATGAAAAGATCAATCCGTATCCTCGCTTCCTCTGTTGGGCGTCATCATCTCATCCAACAACAACAACAATATCGTTTCCTCCATTCTTCTCCCTTCCTTTTCAAGGACATTACCATCAAGGTCCCACCTATGGGAGATTCTATCAGCTCTGGAGAGATTAATGAATGGGTGAAAAAACCTGGTGAAGCCTGTGCCGAAGATGAAATCATTTGCAAAATTGATACCGATAAGGTCGTTGTGGAAATTCGTGCTCCAGAAGCTGGTGTTTTAAAGTCCATCATGGCCAAGGAGAAGGATACTGTTGAAGTTGGAAAAGAAATTGCCGTCTTGGATACCGAGGGTAAGCCATCTGCAACAGCCGTCGCTACTCCAGCAGCCAAGAGTGAACCACAACAACAAGTGAAGAAGGAGGAACCAAAACCACAAGCTACTACCATTCCATCGCAACCACAACAACCACAACCAACACAACCAACGCAAACAGCTTCACCAGCAACAGCAGCGTCATCAACACCCACTCCATTCGCAAGAACCGAAAGAAGAGTGAAAATGACTCGTATTCGTTCCAAGATTGCTGAACGTTTGAAGGAGGCTCAAAACACTTATGCCATGTTGACTACTTTCAATGAAATTGACATGAAGAAGATTATGGATCTGAGAAAGACCAATCAAGAAGAATTCCAAGAACGTCATGATGGACTCAAGTTGGGTTTCATGGGTGCATTCTGTAAAGCTGCTTCCATTGCTCTTCAAGAAGTTCCAGCAGTGAATGCTGTCATTGACAATGGTGAGATTGTTTATCGTGATTATGTTGACATTAGTGTTGCTGTGGCTACTCCAACTGGTTTGGTTGTGCCTGTGGTTCGTAATGTTGAAAGCAAGTCCATTGCTCAAATCGAAAGAGACATTGCAAACTTGGGTGAAAAGGCTCGAAAGAACCAAATTCAAATCGATGACATGAAAGGAGGTACTTTCACAATTTCCAATGGTGGAGTTTTCGGAAGTTTAATGGGTACTCCAATTATCAATCCTCCACAATCCGCAATTTTGGGTATGCACGCCACCAAGAATAGACCAGTTGCTATTGGTGACCAAGTTGTAGTGAGACCAATGATGTATGTTGCATTGACCTATGACCACAGAATTATTGACGGAAGAGAAGCTGTGACATTCTTGAAGAGAATTAAGGAGCTCATTGAGGATCCAGAAAAGATGTTGCTCTATTAAATTGGCATTGGATGGCACTTGTTATATTTCACTAATATATAAATAATAATTTTTACAAACAATTTTTTGAACAATACCTCAGTTTTGATAAATCAGTTTCATATTTACGAATGAGATGAATCTGGAGTATATAGCCTTGCAGGTCAAAATGAAGAAGTATCATGTTTCACGCGAACAAGTGTTTATTCCTCTTGTTGAACCTCTTGCTCAGAATTCATCAAAGGTTTCAGAGAAGCAGCATAAGGAGGAATGGGGTCAAACAATTCATCTGAACCTTCCACATCAATGTCAAACACTGCTCGTCCCAATGGAGTCAATTCTAAGGGTTTTCTCTCGTTCAAGTACAGCAAATGAATCTTCTTTCGTAAAGCCTCTCTTCGATTCTTTCTTCTCTGGTTGGAACCCTCCCTCAATAACATGCTTTTTGGAAACATTCTCAAATACATTGCACTTCTGAATAACGCCTGACTCTTCAGGACATCCATTGGTGCAGATCCGTGAGCCAACAATTGGTTCCAAATGATGAGACTTCCAGATCGTGTTGGAACTCGTTCTGCCAAATCAAAGATGGCTCCTGTGATACGATCTCGTGTCTTGAAAGTAAAACTTGGACGTCCACGACCCAACTCTGTCACCAGTCCACTCTTCTCAAAGAATTGTGCAAAGTAATTGTGGAAGCCTGGAACGACGATCAAACCTCCATCTTCACTCTTATTATCATTGAGATTTATCAGAGCTTGAACTTGCAAACCATCTCTCTTAGTACAAATGTGATTATTCTCAGCGATGAAATGTCCTTTTCCACTCGAATAATGCAAACGATTCAATTCAGAATAAGAAGTTTTAGCATTCTCAGGTTCATCTAGAGCCTCGGCTGGATTGCAATCGAGATGTAAATTTTGTTTGGTTTTCCATTTGGAATTCAATTTAGGAGAACGATAAAAGGAAGCTCGGTCATGACTCACCACAAGTTCAGTTTCTGGTAATTGGAAAACTCGAGCAAATGCTTTCACTACTTTCCCATTTTGTCGATTCATCAAGAATTGTCTCGAAAAGATGCTTGGAATGGAAACATTGCCAAAATGTTCAAGAGCATTTTCAGGCCAACTATTCCATTGAGTGGTATCCTTGCGTTGGAATTTACCATTCGTATTGGTTTCGAGAAGGTCATAGATGTCACTCACGGTGGCATCTACTTGTTCTTTGGTCAAGACATTTTCAAAGACCACGAAACCGTACTGGGAAAAGAATTGTTGAATTTCCTCATCGGAAGATGTGTCCACATTGAAAGATTGGCAATACAGGCCCGAGTCGGTGAGAGGAACATGAAGATTGGGCATTTCGAATGTGTTTTGATTGGGGAAGGTAATTTTACATTTGTGTTGCTTCTGATCGTTCGTGGTTTGATGGTTAATGGAGATCATGCTGATGAATATAATTGCTTGAAGGTGGAGGAAACAAGATTGATTGTGTGGTTTTTATTTTGTTGAGTGTTGTAGCGTATTAAAGTTGAATTTGAAGGTTTCCACTTTTAGGTTCATTTTGGAGATTGAATTTGAATTTTCAAAAGTTGAATGAAGTTATACTATTTTGCTATAAACTCAAGAATATTGTGGTATTACAATTGGCAGCGTTGTATTTGTTGTTGTTAACACTTTGAGTTGTTCTTTTCCTCCTCAATTTCAACTTCACACACTGTCACATCTTGCTCTTGTGAATTCAATCTCACAGTAACCATTTGTCTCTTCTCATCTTCTCTCATGTAATTGGTAAAGAAAGTACCCAACACAGTCGTTCCACCTGTCAAATTCTGAGCATGATTGGCATAATAATTCGTGGTAGCCTTATAAACTCCTTTCTGAGCTTTCTTAATCATGTACTCCTCTGGTCCATAACCATTACGAAAATCTCTTGAAACGAAACCACCCGTGATGGAACGATTGTGAGCATAATACACATGCTCACCATAGGGAGCTGGTTCCTGTACATGCAAATCAATATCGACATTGTCCAAATCCCACGCCATTGAAATTCGAATATCTAAATCAAAGTGGTGAATTAATATCATGTTTCAAAAATTGTTCCAAAGTGTGTAAAACAATGAGAGAAGTATTTTCGGTGGCAATTTTGAATTCCAATCCAAGTTGTCGAATTTCTTCTTTAAAGAGAGAAGGAAATGTGGAGAGAGATGCAATTTTCTGTTGAGCCCATAATATTGGAACTATTGAATCTCTGTCTTTGTTGTTGGATGGTTTGTTCAAATGTTTTGGAATGGGTAAATCTATTTCCTGTGAATGAAATATTCGAGAGCCATATCTGAATGAAATTACAATCTTGGAGAATTGTTTTTCGTTGTTTTTGATATTCTGTTTAAATCTTCCATATAATTTGAAAACTTGTCCTTCGTGCAAACAAGTCGGTTCGTTCGGATAATTCATAGATTTCATTCTCCTCATAATCAGCAAATGCAAAACACAGTACGGGTTTTCCAATGGCATTTACCAAATCAGATTCTTTCATTTGATGAGCATTTAAGAACATTCCTCCACTTTTTGTTGCAATATTTTGCATCAAACTTGAATGACTCACAGTCGAGGTATTCACAATATATAATGGCTTTGAAAAGGTTGTGACATGAGTAATTTCAGGGCCAAATGTGTGAATTCAATTCGTAAACATAATGCAATAGTGTACACTTTCGTCAATCATTCCTCTATCCAACAGCAATAAATTGGATCCTCCATCATAAGTTAATTCTTGTTGTGTTAAAAATAGTTCCAACTTTGAAAAACCAAAACCATTTGAAAATTCATGATTGCTCACGACAGCATTACTGAAACATGTGAATACAATACACGAGGGTTCTACTTTTTCAAGAATTTTCCTCAATAGCTTACAAATAGTCACATGTTGTTTTCCCTGGCTTAATGAACAATCCCAAAGAATTTGAATCTTTTTTCCAGGCTGTTCTGAATTTTCATTTGAAATAATTTCTGTAGGAGGAGAAGGAACATGAATACTAGTCATAAAGTACCCATCTTTCTCCGCAAATTGTATATCTCGAGTGCTTTCTGTTTTTTGTGAAATATTGAGGGTGAATCCTGTTATGTGTTCATTCAGATCGGATTTCTTGAGTTCGAAATGATAATCTGTGTGTGGGTGTGATGAAGAATAATTGAACTTATTGTTGCTCCAAATTAATTGAGAGGATATCGTATCATGCATGGTTGCGTCATGATCATGTCCGTCTTGATGAGAAGTATCAGTATTGTTGTTGTGCAAAGTTTCCAAATAAATTTCACTTTTTAAATTCTTAAAGGAAGATTCATTGAAAGAAAATTCAATCTTGCTGTCCTCTCTAAGCTTTTCAAAATTTAAATAACTCATTGGAATAAATACACAACTGTTGATGATTCCTTCCTCCTTTTCTTGAAGAGAAGTTGCAGTTTCATTCAACATGATTTGATATTTCACCTGTATGGTCTTATCTTCCTGGAAAGGCAACGGATTGACTCGAGTTTTAAAACAATTCGATTGAGAGACCTTCTCAACAATGGATACATTTCTTTCAGCTCTCGCTTCATTCTCAAAGACTTGCTTTGCTTTTTCTTTTTCAATAGGTACAGCATCCACAAGAGCTTCATCAATTTGCATTGCATAACCAATGACTGAAGCATTTTCAGGGCAAAACAACCTCACCTTCAATGGTTTTTGATGAATGATCGTTTTGGAATGTCATGGTCGACACGACTTGGATCACAGGGTAAGTGATTTGGCATTTGACATGATGCGAAACGAGAGGTAACACAGTCGAGGCCTTGTCGGAAAATGGAGTCACAGAGCCAAGTTTGAGTTGAATGAAACGATCGAACGGCGAGTGTGAGCCTTGAGAGTCAATACCAACAACATCATCACCCTCTTGATCTTTCAACACGTTTGATTTGGAGTTTGTTTTGTCCTTCATGTGTTGTTTGATCCTTTTCGATGAACACCAATGATCATTTCTTCTTCGTGGCATTTTGTGTGGGGATGAGGTGTTCTTCAGAAGAGTTGAAATTGAAGATTTTTTTATGGCTGTGTTAATTCGAAAGAAACGAGCAAAACAGGAAGGTTTTCAGCTCAACATTGATGCATGTTCAACGACTTTCATGCAGCTCAACAATCTTTTACATGTATAAAAGAGAGATTCGATCAAAAATTGATGTTGTGACTTATCTATTTGGTTGGACATTTCTGGGCACTGTTGTAGGAACGATTAGTATTCTTGACGGATACATTTCCGTTTCAACAAGTTTGTCGTCCAACTATAAAAATGAGCTTCATTCATTTGATTCCCCATATTGTTGATGAAATCGATTTCAAGGTGCAACAATTATTGGTTGGAGATGACTTGGAAGAACAGCCAGCCAGACTCTAGCTTTTTTGTTGTGTCAAAACCTGATTTGTCCATAGTTCAATTAACCCATTATGGGGTTGTGAGAGTCGGCGAAATGAACAACGAGGTTGCTTTGTCGGGACGGAAAACAACAACACCACAACCATCGCTTGGTCACCAATCTCGGACAGCACCTACGACGACCACAACAACAGAACTCTAAAGAGACGCATTATCACTGATGCTGATAGAGGTTGGCCACAAATTATTCATCACGGAATTCTGAATTTTTAAGATTAAGTTTATCTATCTATTACACCACCAACATCAACAACAATAATTTTCAACAATAACACACAACCAACACAATGTCCAATGTTGGCAACAACAACAACAACACTCATCCCAAATCATCCAATGTCCACGCCGTGTTTGCTCCCCGAAATTCCATTTTGTCCACTGGATCGGGGATGGCTGGGGAGAGAGAGGGAGATGCAGAGGTGCTCTCCGCACATCAAACCTCTACAGTAGATAGCTCGAGTGTGGATGTCGTCCAAACACACATAATAGCAGAGGAATATGTTGTTTCATCCATTCGTGCTGTGAAAGCTCATCCATGGGACACTCTCCCACATGTGATCTCCATATTCATTCATGGAATATTATTTCCTTTGCAAACTATTGCAATGGGATACATTCCTTTTCAGCAATGGGGTTCTCTTTCTCATGACATTATTCATTATGGAATTAAGAATTTGTATACGTTTGGTTTGCATTTTCTGCCGTATAGTGGTGCATTGGCTTTCTGTATGCTATTCGCTGCTCTAGAAGTGTCATGGTTAGCTCTTGTCTACACTTCAAAATTTGTGAACGGGAAAGAAAGCAGATTGGCAAAGAGAATTACTTTTTTAGCAAAATATTTAACAGTGATTGTGTTTGTATTCTCAATTCCAATTTCGAGCTTGTATGCCACATTTTGGAGTTGTGATTATGCATCGGAACAGGTACAATCGTCAGTTTTAGGAACCTCTAGTACAGTTCGGTACTACCTCAAGGATTATCCAACGGTAGAGTGTTGGGGAGCTATCAATGCCAGTTTTGCTGCCATCTCCTTGTTGATGGGGTTTTCCATCCACATGTTTGCTGTGCCTGTATTCTTTGTGTTATGCATTACAAATGCTTCACATGTATTGTTTCCAACCTTTAAGAAAGCACCAGGGTGGTTCGTGGTTTATGTGAAACGAGCTTTTTTCAGCTCTCTTAAACCTCTTGTCATTATCACCATGGTTGTGTCCTATCAGATTTATATTTGGGCTCAACAGATGGTTCCCAGTTATGAAAAGTATACCTACTTGTATCCCATATTTTTTATTTGTTTGGGATTGTTTAAAATTGTACTCATTATTTGGTTCATTCCTTTCTGTAGAGTTTCAGAAAACAGTTATGATATTGCTTTGAATTTTGGAAAAATTGGAATTGGAATTGTTACTCTTGTGTGCTCTCTTCAAAATACTGAGCGAAACAATGACTATGGGCTCGTTTATTTTGGAGTTAGTATAGGAGTATTCATCTTGTTCTTTATTATTGGATTTATTGTCTCGTTTTTTTCTTTCAAACTGCACTTGAAGTACCTTATGAACATTGTTAGTGAAAAACTGGAAGAAAATTCTTCAGAACTGTTAGAGGAAGTAGGTCAGAATACTTTGGCCAAACTCATTCAATTTTCTCTCCCTGTCTTTAATGATTCACCACTTTTAGCACTTTCTAAACAAGTTGTGAGTGAAATCCTGAAAAACAAACTCACCATCACAGAGACACATTTAGTGAATGTTGTTTCATGTGCTCTTTTCAAATACAAAGACTCCAGATACAGTATCAACAAAGCAATTCAAATGATTATGAATCAAATGAGGCGAAAAATTAATCTCTTTGAAAGAGTTTACTTGTCATTGCAAAAACATGAAAAAGAGTATCTGAAGAAAAAAGATGAAATTAAGCCAGGAGGAAGAAGGAACGAAGAGATTGATAAGAAGTTGTCAGATCTTTATAAGAAACAACAAAAAGTAATATATTTGCAAAAGACCTTCTGGAAACACATTTTAAATGATAGTATGGATGACACAGACGCGATATTGCAAACAAGCAGCGACCTAGCAGACTATATCACAGATATTTCTACCAAATTTAATGATTTACTCTCGCAACATTCCTCAAACGTGACAGTCTTGAGACATTATGCCCGATATGCTGAAAAAATTTTATTTCAAATGGAGTTGAGTGAGTCATTGAACGGACAAGCAAACTTGTTAGAGGAAGAGGAAGAACTTCATAATCTAAAACATGCATTTAAAAATGTGAGAAGATACAGTACGAGGGTCTCAGATGCCGACCCAAATCCCAAAATAGTTCAACAAGAAACTGATATAGAGGATGATTTGGATGAGGCAAACAATTTTGATGAAGAGCAAATGAAAACCAAGCCCAAAGATACATTTAGAAGCCTTATACACAAGCAACCCGATTTTCGATGGATTTTAGGTCTGATTTTGGTTGTTCCATGTTATGTCATCTTGGGTATTACAGGTGGTTTGTTAGGAGAAATTATTCAAGGCACTAATAGGAATGGATATCAGACAAAAGGATACAAGTCAAATGTTTGGATGTATTATGATATGTGTGATGCTGCAAATATTCCATACTATGTGATGGTAAGTAATAGCGATCTTTTACCACAATGGAGATTCATTTGAAATTTCCTTTACAAAAGGTGGATTTTAGGGTCTTCCAAAAATTAAAAATCTCATCGAACAACACAGAGTACATGAAAAAGATCCAGAGTGAAAGTACACAGAGATTTTTAATTTACAATCGCAAGCTTAAAAACATGCTTTCAACATACTCTGCAAGCTCTGACAATTTAATTCAATCAGTTGTGAAAGGTTATCAGCAGAAATATCATATCGTTTACGTACCAGCAGCCGTTGGAGACAATTCAACAACGGATCAATTTTTACCACCTTCCACCAAACAAATGACTCTTATTGAAATTTATTCAATTTTAGCCAATACATTGGAACAATTAATTCAGCAAGATGAAGATATGAGAATGAAAACAAAAAATAATTTTCCATTCATGTTTTTATGGGAAAATAGACAAACGATTCCATCTGCAATAACAGAATATTGCTCTGAAATTATTGAAAATAACAGAAATCATCTAATCGAACAACTGAGAGATTTTGTTCTAGGTTTATCAATAGCCATGCTATCATTTGTGGGAGTGTCGTGTGGAATATTTGCCATTATCATTTACAAATTCAGAGATCGAGAAAGGTTAATCAGATTATTTAAGAGACTCCCAAAAGATGATGTGGGAAAAGTGTATCATCAACTTACGAGTGACGATAAGCATTCATTAGAAGGGGAAAAGAAAAAGTACACCATGAAGTGGATGAGAAATCCTGTAATTTCAGTTCCATCTTTACAATTATTAGCATTTGCATTGGGATCTGTGGCATTTTTTGCATTCATATATGATTCAACCAATAATATGAACGTGCAATATAATTCCATGTTAAAGCTACGTAATTCAGTCGATATTCAAGTCGATTACCATAAGGGATTGTTCAGTATGCTCGAATTAATTAGAGATGATTCTGGAAACAATCTACTAGTGAATACTACATCAATCTATAATGACCTTTCTCTTACAATACGAAGTCTCTTTGATAATTTCTTAGTATTTTCACGTGGTGACGATTCAAAAGGATACAATCCTATTAGAAGCTACAGTACAGATATTGAATATTTGATGTCATCCACTACGTGTAGTGTTCACAATGACACTCAAGCTCAAAATAGTACGAGCTCATTTGATCTGAGTCACTCGCTGTGGAACTCTTCATTTTCCTTGCAAGAAAATCTAGACTTTTTTCAATGTCTAAGTATAGAGGAGTTAATGGGTTATATTTCATCATCAATGGAGCAACTCAAAGAGGAGACTTATAGACAAATATTCTCTCCGACTGAACTGATTGAAAAATTTGTTAGAATTCATCTCTCACTTAGTTTGGCGTTCAGATCTAAAGTGGATAAGGTTTTACTCTTGCTGGTAAATGTTATCGACAATATTGTATCAATGACTGTGAGCATTAGCGTGACTTCTTTCATTGTCATTTTATGTTTTCTCATCAACTATTTGGTTTACGTATTATGGAAAATATATGTGAAAGAAATGCGTCAGCTCCGACAAATGTTTCATTTTATGCCCTTTGAAACCTTGGAAAATGATGAAGTTTTTATTGATTACATTATGAATTTCACATTAAAAAAGAAAAAGAAGGGTAAAGTTCATCCTGGAATGAGTGAAGAAGGTACAAATTCGTACAGTCTTTTGAAACATACTTTGGACAGTTGTGTGGATGGAACAGTCATTTTTAATCAAGATGGTATTATTGAAAATATCAATCAACCTGCTTTATCCATGTTTGGCATTCGGTCTCAGAGTGACATTATTGGAACACATTTTTCGGCTCTATTTCAGTCGAAAGAAAATATTGAGCGCAAGATTAGTGACATTATCAAAACACAAAAGGCAACAGGTGAGGTTTTGGAGGTGGAAGCAAAACGTTCTCAAAATTTGCAAAATTCAAAAACGTTCCCTGTGAAACTCAATTTATGTGTTGCCATTGGAGGTGGATACAAAAAGATCATCTTTGTTGGAATTTTGAATGACATTACATCAGAAAAGAAAAGTGTGGAATTGCTAAATTTAGAGAAAAGAAAATCAGAGAATCTTTTAAAGAATATTTTTCCAGAGGTAAGTTGTTTTTGTAGAATGTGTGTACCTAAACACGTTTTATGTCATTCCTAGGCGGTCGTGGTTCGGTTGAAAAAAGGAGACACTTTTATTGCCGAAAAGTATGTTTTTATTAATCTCTAATGCAAAAATATCCTTATTTCACAATTTATTTAACATGAAATATTTTTGATCAGATTCGATGACGTGACATGTTTTTTCAGTGATATGGTAGGATTTACAAAGATGAGTTCTACATTAGCTCCCACAGAGCTTGTGGAAATGTTGAATAGTATCGTCAATAGTTTTGATGATTGCACAACCAGGTACAATATTGAAAAGATTAAAACGATTGGAGATGCATATTTTTGTGCAGCAGGGTGAGTTTTGTCATCTCATGAATTTAAATCATGTTACTTATATCTTTTAAACATGACAATCATACGGATATGCTTGCTATTGACAACACAGGTTGCACGGTCAGCAGAGTGATCATCCTGAACGTGTCTTAAGATTTGCTATTGATGTTTTTGGACTTCTTCACATTTACAATATTACACATGACAGAAATATTGAAACAAGTATTAATTTGCGAATAGGTTTGTAGTTGTTGTTTAAATGTGAAAAATATTTTTGAACTTTAACACATTTCGTAAGGTATTCATACTGGCTCTGTTGTGGCTGGAGTAATTGGATCCAAGAAGGTAGGTTTGAAATCTCAAAGCCTTACGAAGTTTAATTATCTCTTATCGTTTTATTTCAAATAGTTTGCATACGATTTGGTAAGTTTTAGACGACAATGAAATTAATTGACAACTTGACTGCTCAACAACCAAACGAGACCAGTGGGGAGACGCTGTAAATACGGCCAGTCGAATGGAGTCCACAGGTGTTCCTGGTCGAATACAAATCAGTAGATCTACCTATGAGAGAGTTCACGATGTCGTTCTAAATGATTTAGGACCAACTCTCACTCCTAACAACAGAGGTATCATGGTTGAATTTGAAGAGCGCCGTGTTGAGGTAAAAGGTAAAGGAATGATGAACACCTATCTCTTGCTTGAAAAGTTTCATGAAAGAAGTCTTTTTGAAAATGGTAATGTTGGAAAGTCCTCAACACTGGTTCATCAGACTTCAATTATGGGTGAGGAGTTGTTGCAATCCCAAGAATCTGAAGACAAGAACTAGATTTTGAGGGTTGGGTTAAGGTCTCTAAAATGCTCACTTTTGATATTTTTTCTTCTGTTGTTAATGTACTCAGACTCATCAAAGTTCATTGACCAATTCTCTGGTCCAATTTATTTGGGAGGTCGATGATTTACCATGGGATGGTATTAACTGCACTTCTAGTTTTATTTTGAGGATTAATGCACCATTCTTCAGATATATTGAAACAAGAAACGGAAATGTCACAACAAGATCGAATGTATTTGGATTTCTTGGAATATGATGAAAGTTTGGATTGGAATAATTCTCAACAAGAATCTCAAAACGAAATTGTTCAAGCACATGCAAGGAATCATTTTCAACAAACAAAACAACCAATTTCATATTCACCAATTCATCGGTCCACCTCTTTAACAACATTTGAATCTTCGTTTTCAAAAACATTGATGGATGAATCGAAAAAAATTCATTCAGTGTATTGGTGTCACTCATGGAAAAGTTAGTGAACCAAGAAAAAGAAACAGCGAATCAACAAGTAGTAGGAACAGAACAGAATACTTGTGAAGAGTCAAGACAAGGTTCCGTTTCGTTTAGCAATATTCATGAAACGAGTTTAGTTCGCGAGGAGGACGAAACTTTACAGCCACATCGACGAGTTAAAAGACGATTCTTCAAAAAGTAATAATAATGATCGAGGAAACAAACAATTTTATCTCATTTTCACAACATGGTTGTCACGTTGTCACAAATAAAAATACTTTTATGGAACATCGGTCCCAGTTGAATTCCAAAACAATTTTCTGAAACGTTGAGATCCATACAAATATAATCGCATCTTGTGAATTTCTTCAATGACGACGAGTCATTGTTGCCATGTCCAAATAAACATCATTTGAAACCATCTATCAAGAAGTGGCCTACGATAGTTACAAGGCTCCAATTTTCGTCGTTCTAGTCTATTACAATCTTTTCTCTCTCGTTGTGTATTTTGGATGGATGTTCATTGTGATGGCTCCCAATTTTGGAATTTGCAATGTTCCACCTCACACTCCCTTAGGTCTTTGTTCACTCAATGCGACTACTTGTACGAGTGTGGAACAAGTCTTCTCTCAGCAAGGAGAGGCCATTTCATGTTTCTTTGGACAATATGAAGTATCGAGTTGTTGTGGAGGATGGCAAGCAACTTGTTGGACATGCATGTTCACTCTCGGATATTACATTTTCTTTGTTTCAGGATCATTCATTATTGAAAAGTTCGGAAGTAACATGTTGGCCAATTTGAATGCTCTCTTGTATCCACTCACTGCCATCTGTTTTTGGATTGAACCGATTGTTGGACAATTCTATTCGAAACCGGAATGGTGGATTGGAGTTTCGTTGGCCATTATCACTTGTGGAAATTTAATGTATGAATGGTTTGCAAGAAGACCCTTGTATGAGATGGAACCTCGATGGTTGCCTTGGAGAAAATGGAGACATGAAGTGAACGAAGAAAAGAGTCATGGAGGGGGAGTTAGTGGTGTTGATATGGAAAAGAGAGGTCAATATGTGAGTTTGAATAATGATCGTGATAATGAGGAGGAGGAAGATGTTGCACGAGATGGAAAGTTGTAAATCTTTGAGAAACAGTAAAAGAAAATGTGGTTTCATGAAGTGTTATTGGGACGGAAAATTGTCGCACCATTAGGGTTTGGGTTTGGGTTTGGGTTTGGGTTTGGGTTTGGGTTTGGGTTTGGGTTTGGGTTTGGGTTTGGGTTTGGGTTTGGGTTTGGGTTTGGGTTTGGGTTTGGGTTTGGGTTTGGGTTTGGGTTTGGGTTTGGGTTTGGGTTTGGGTTTGGGTTTGGGTTTGGGTTTGGGTTTGGGTTTGGGTTTGGGTTTGGGTTTGGGTTTGGGTTTGGGTTTGGGTTTGGGTTTGGGTTTGGGTTTGGGTTTGGGTTTGGGTTTGGGTTTGGGTTTGGGTTTGGGTTTGGGTTTGGGTTTGGGTTTGGGTTTGGGTTTGGGTTTGGGTTTGGGTTTGGGTTTGGGTTTGGGTTTGGGTTTGGGTTTGGGTTTGGGTTTGGGTTTGGGTTTGGGTTTGGGTTTGGGTTTGGGTTTGGGTTTGGGTTTGGGTTTGGGTTTGGGTTTGGGTTTGGGTTTGGGTTTGGGTTTGGGTTTGGGTTTGGGTTTGGGTTTGGGTTTGGGTTTGGGTTTGGGTTTGGGTTTGGGTTTGGGTTTGGGTTTGGGTTTGGGTTTGGGTTTGGGTTTGGGTTTGGGTTTGGGTTTGGGTTTGGGTTTGGGTTTGGGTTTGGGTTTGGGTTTGGGTTTGGGTTTGGGTTTGGGTTTGGGTTTGGGTTTGGGTTTGGGTTTGGGTTTGGGTTTGGGTTTGGGTTTGGGTTTGGGTTTGGGTTTGGGTTTGGGTTTGGGTTTGGGTTTGGGTTTGGGTTTGGGTTTGGGTTTGGGTTTGGGTTTGGGTTTGGGTTTGGGTTTGGGTTTGGGTTTGGGTTTGGGTTTGGGTTTGGGTTTGGGTTTGGGTTTGGGTTTGGGTTTGGGTTTGGGTTTGGGTTTGGGTTTGGGTTTGGGTTTGGGTTTGGGTTTGGGTTTGGGTTTGGGTTTGGGTTTGGGTTTGGGTTTGGGTTTGGGTTTGGGTTTGGGTTTGGGTTTGGGTTTGGGTTTGGGTTTGGGTTTGGGTTTGGGTTTGGGTTTGGGTTTGGGTTTGGGTTTGGGTTTGGGTTTGGGTTTGGGTTTGGGTTTGGGTTTGGGTTTGGGTTTGGGTTTGGGTTTGGGTTTGGGTTTGGGTTTGGGTTTGGGTTTGGGTTTGGGTTTGGGTTTGGGTTTGGGTTTGGGTTTGGGTTTGGGTTTGGGTTTGGGTTTGGGTTTGGGTTTGGGTTTGGGTTTGGGTTTGGGTTTGGGTTTGGGTTTGGGTTTGGGTTTGGGTTTGGGTTTGGGTTTGGGTTTGGGTTTGGGTTTGGGTTTGGGTTTGGGTTTGGGTTTGGGTTTGGGTTTGGGTTTGGGTTTTGGGTTTGGGTTTGGGTTTGGGTTTGGGTTTGGGTTTGGGTTTGGGTTTGGGTTTGGGTTTGGGTTTGGGTTTGGGTTTGGGTTTGGGTTTGGGTTTGGGTTTGGGTTTGGGTTTGGGTTTGGGTTTGGGTTTGGGTTTGGGTTTGGGTTTGGGTTTGGGTTTGGGTTTGGGTTTGGGTTTGGGTTTTGGGTTTAGGTTTGG